AACATCAATGCCCTAACTGTGCATCTCAGTGATAAGTGGAAAGTTAAGCTGATGGAAGACAATCAGGCCACGATCACTATCCTGCAGCAGGGACACTCACAGAAGCTAAGGCACACGGATAGGACCCAACGCATTAGCTTTAGATGGCTCCAGGAGCAATTCGTGAATAGGCAGTTCGAACTAATCAATGTTGACACTACCCTCCAAGCTGCAGACATCTTGACCAAGGCGTTTGACAGCACCCCAGTGTGGCATCATGCACTTGAGCTGATCGGTATCTCCCCCAATCGCCAGGCGCGAGCCTGTGCCACCAGTTTGCTGCTCCCTCCATGCGCCAAGGCCGGAGAAGTTAGTGATCAGGGGGGGCAGATCGCTGCGTTATGCAACGTTCAGCCCAAGCGCCTCCTTATTGAATTCTGTTGTTCGACGACCTCACGGTTGGGCGAATCAAGAGACTCTTCAAAAGGTTGCCGTGTCATTCGGGTAACTGAAACCGAAGACGGGCGCTCCGATACGTGCAGGCAGTGGTTAGGCCGTGAAATCGCCGAATTCAGGAGCAAGAATCCTAAGGGTGCAATCATGTTCTATGTTTGATTGCCATGCGCTGGAGGTTGCCCGTGGGGTTATGTCAACCAGCAAACTCCCAAAGGTGCTGCCAAGATTGAGGGCCACATCAAGCAATTCCGATCATTGTTGAGAGGGTTCAAACACATTCTCAATGATGTTTATTCTAATGACATTAGAGTTGCCTTCGAACTCCCCAAGGCATGTCGTTATTGGAAATGGCCTGAACTATGGAGTTTCTTGACTAAGTACAAGATGAACAAGTATGAATTCCATGGTTGCAAAATCGGTATCAAAGGGAGAAATGGAAAACCCATGAAAAAGCAATGGGTCGTTGCCAGTAATATGCCCACTATTTCCGTTGTTGAGTACTTCAAATGTGATGGTTCTCACGAGCATGATGAAAGCCGTGGCACCCACTTGAAGGAAGCCGAGGGATACACGTACATTTACACTGATGCCGTTCACAATGCATTTTCCGAACATGCCACCATGCAGCCGATGCTTTCGAGTGATTGTGCTGCATCGTTTTCGCAATGAGCGGCCCAACGGCTATGGCGCATCCCGCGAGGGATTGCGATCCGGCTTGGAGGAGGTGGATGGAGAATGTCGCTACCACATCGGTATGCACGAACGGCAAGTACGACGCTGACCTCGCCGCTACGGTCAAGGGCCTCCTGGAGACGACCTCTGCACAGTCGCTTATTCATACATGGGTGCAGGACCAACCGCATTATTTGCAGTTGCTTACACCCCTGTTAACTATAAGCGAACCTTACTTGAAGGTTGTGCAGGCCCCACGTGTACCAGATCGCGACCTCCTTATCTATGTGACTGTCGCTGATTCAGGACTGTCCATGGTTTCGGGCAAGAAGAAGAAGCTTCGCAAGTATGACTTTGCAGAACGCTTGGATGCTTCTCGCCCGGCGCGTGTCGGTGCATGGAGGTCAGAAATGCTTTGGGGCAAGGGCTTACAACAGCTGTGCAAGCGTTTGGCCGCCCTTATCGACGAGGTGCGTACGGACTACCCGACGGCGACCATCGTTCCGATGATTTATTGGAACGGCAATGAGCTTGTTGGGAAGGACGGCATTGAGCCCAGCGGCACCTACCCGTTCGACCAACCCGCCGGCGAGGCCAGTCAGTTGCTGGCAGACACCAAGAGGCACCTGGCTTGGACCAGGGATTTCGCGGCCCGCAAGGGCTGCGCATGCCTTGGAGTCATGACCGGCGCGAAAAGCTATCTCTACGGCTTCTCTATGATTTGGGACCGTTACATGACGGAAGTCCGGGATTACATCATCGGCGACCCCAATCATATGTTTGTGTACGTAGATGCTACACCCTTTGTCGAGACCATCGATTTGCTGGACAGGTATCATATGTGTTTCAGTGACGACAACATCACGAAGACCGTCCAGTTCATGCGCGGAACCCATCACATGTTGTATATGCTTTCCATCTTGCGCCCCGCAATGGGCAGCGTAGCCGAGCTGACACGTTCGCACGATTGCACCGTGCGTCCGATCGATGTGCTCGAGGTGCGCCACCAAGATGATTGCACAGTCAACGTTGAGGTTCTCGCGTACTGCAAGGAGACGCTAACGAAGTGCGGTGTTTCTTTGTCAGAGATGATCGGGCTCCCTTTTACCCGTGAAGAAGTGGAAGTCCGGCAGCCTCTCGATTTCGCCCCCGTCAACCCAGCCGAGTTTGCAACTTCAGGTGAGCCTTCCGGTGCAGATGTTTCCGAAAGCGTTCGCCCGGCGCAAGCCGGTGCAAAGGCGGCTGCGGTGGCAAAGAGGGACGAGGCGGCGAGCAGGCCGGTGCCACTTGACTCCTACGGGAGGAGAGTGACTGGGGGCCACTATGACTGCTGGGTGTATAGCATTCATGATGGCGTGAAGTATGTCGACTACGGTGAGGGCCCCAAGAGACTCGACATCATCAAGCAGCCCTCCTTTGATTACGACCCTTCCGTCAGGAGAATCAGTGACGAATACCATCGTTCCCTGACGTGCATCTCCAAGATCCTCCGTGGTCGTGGAACAGAAGGATGCGGGTATGTGATGGATGAGGACGGCTACATGGACCTCGAAGACCTGGGACTCGCGCTTCGCAAGGAGCTGCGACATCCCATTCCATGGAACATGCAGAATATCATGGACATCTTCAAGCTGGACAAGAAGCAGAGGTTCATCGGGCTTGGTTGCCCGGACGCAAGCCGGTGCGGAGACGTTCCATGTTCTCATTGGCTTTTCAAGCTGAAGGCCTCTCAAGGCCATGAGGACTGGCTCCAGATCGACGACTCCGGCATCGCGAAGGAGTGGTACGTGAACCCGGGGACTGACCTCGGGCGCTGGTCTGGCTGGAACGTTTGCAGCAGCCCTCCTACGGTGCTTTATCACCGCACTGATAAGCGTAACTTCGCTAACATCATGCGGAACGGACTGCTTCCAGGAGGAGGGGACCAGCACGAGACAGGCAGACCTCACGTTTTCTTCGCTGACGTCCCAAGCACGAACGAAAATTACATCTCAGGTGTACGTGCGAACAAACCCCTGGAGATACAGATCGACCTCAGGATGGCCATTCGCGCAGGGCTTTGCTTTTTCAAGACGGAGAGCGACGGCGTCCTTACGCGCGACAAGGTGCCCAACTACACGATTATTTCTGTATTGGACGCTACAAATGGCGATGTATGGTACACTCGCTCCGAGCAATCGGATGCAGGTGCACCAGCTGAGGCGACTGAGGATGAACCCCAGGGAATGAGGCGCGACCAAGCCGTGGTTGATGATCGTTCAACAGCACTGGAACGTATTGCTACAACGCGCACAAATGTGGCCTCTCCTCGCGCCTCGCAAGGGGAAGCGAAGAGACAGAAGACTTTCAACCCAATGGAGAACGTCGAGCTGAATGTTGCCACGTGCCCGGTTTGCAACAACAGTGTGTTCGAGGGGCAGGTGCACTGCTCATCATGTGGGCAGTTGTCTCCCCTCAACCCACGCCTGTTGAAAGAGCAACAGAAGAATTACATTGTGCAGCGTTCCAATTTGCTGAAGAAGATGGGCCTCAGCACCCATGTCACAGCTCAGGTCCTGGCATCCGTGGGAACATTTGACCTCCGCGAGGAGGATCGTAGCAGCATCATTCGTGGCTTGAACTCCCCGGACAGTGCTGTTATTCAGGAGGCACGGAAGAAGCACAAGTCCGCCCTGAAGAACGGCTACCACTCTCTGCTTGATCGCTATGAACTCGACCTTCAATACAGGGTTCGTATGCTTGAGGTGGGCCGTCGGGAGGCGGACATGCTCCGCATGGAGTTGAGCGCAAATCTCGTCTTGGCTGCTCCAAAGCAGTCGCAAGCCCAGCGCACTCTGGGAGTTGGCCTTGGATCAACTTCGGAGTCGCGAATCGCAAGGCTCGCGTATATCAAGACAGAGTTGGAGTTCTTGCCCAACGAACTTCAAGATGCGCTTTCCTCTCGCTGGATCATTATGTTCCAAGGGATGCCTTACAGCCCAAGAGCTTTTATCAACGTGGTCTTTGAGCAAGACAAGCCTCGCAGCATTGGTTGTTGGAATGGCATCATCCATCTGCGAAGCAACACGTTGGACAACCTCCGCAACGAGATGGACTGGATTTTCAGCCAGAATGAGCGGTATGCACGCAACTCGATCGAATTTTCGAGGAACGAGAGCAGCAAACACCTTGCTCGCAATGCCGCTCGCTATGCCGAGACAAGAGCTCCCGCCGCCCGCGAGGGTGAGCATTGGAGCCAAGGCAGCTGGCAGAATTGGTCCGGTTGGAGCGGATGGGATAACAGTAGCGGAAGCTATTCAACTTGGCAGTGGCGCTGAAAGCGCAACTGTCATGGTTTGCATGTAACAATGGTTCCCCTGACCTTCTCCCTCTGTAGTGTTACTGTTTGGCTGCTTTGTAAAAGGCCCCTTTAACACGCAGAGGGGGGTGAAGAATTTGATCGGTCAATATGGGGTTTTACATCCATTGCATCCGCAGTGTGGCTGTTCAAGCGTGAAAATGTGCGAGCAGCGCACTTGGACGGTTTGTTGTTTCCTTTTGGGCCCCAAACCGGTAACCCTTGAATCTATAGTATGGAAAGCGATCAGCCTGTTTGCCAAAATGTGATGTGAAGACTTTGTTCTCGGACCTCCGGTGGTGCCCTTTTGTCCGTTTCTGCAGTCCCTGTTTCCCTTCAGACACCAACATGTCAGGGCCGCTTTGTTTCTTTGTTGTTTTAAATCCACTGGAGGTCTGGGCATTGTTTGGTCATGTGGCTGTGGGTGTCAAAACCGTTTTGGGATCCCATTTTGGGGGTAGGTGAATTCACCACCCATTTTAGAACCTATTTTAGCGGTTGGATTGAATCGGATGTTCACAGGGGGCTCACCGATTTGACTTTTGACCCACGTCAGACCTGCCTCGGCTCAGCCGGCCGGCCCCAGGCACTCGGCAAGTGCTGGGGGAAAACTGCAGGTTAGCATAGGAGAGCGAGGCAAAGCTCTCCGGGGTAGATATGTCTTTGGTGATTCAGTGAAACCCCAAAAGACAAGTATCAGAAACTTCAGGAGCGATACTGTGAACCCCCAAAAAGATAACTTCCCAATCGAAACCGCCCAAAGTAGTCTTAGGTTTGCCGCTCGCTCAGTCTTCCAACGAGGGACCGTGAACTTTCATTGGTTCTGGGACATGGTTGTGGGAAATGTGTGCGGCCGTAGGACTTGGGGTTGAACCGGGACCAAGGACTTGGGAAGCCACGTTGAGTGCCAAGATATGGTAATGAGTGCCTCCCTGAAGGCGTAGGATTGATTCGGTGGTATGCAATGTGCAGGGACTGTGTGGATGTAGATATCAACTTTCGGAGTATGGGATTTTATCCTCTGGGTATACAGCTTACAGATTATCTCAGTGGGAGGGCAATCTATGATTCGGGCACATCTCAAGGGGCACGTGCTTGTTTGGTTGTGTTCCTTGATAGTAAGTACAGGGTTCAACCATGATAGTGGGACAGCCACTGGCTGACGTATGTGTATCTCTCTCTCTCTCTATATATATATGTCAATACATATATATATATGTATATGCTCACATCTAGAATCTCGTAGGTGGATCATCAAATGGGACTCATGAACTCGCCTGAGATTTAATTCAGGCACCGAGGGCAAAGGCATTTCAACATGACATGTCTTTGCGGAGTTTGACTGACTCAGTGTTTAGAGTTAGTTGGTTCGCTTGGTGAGAAAGCTAGTCTGCGCAAGTGCAGGCAGATTGTCTCAACTTTAGTACACTTATTTTCATAAAAGGGATTGCAGGCGTCCTCATAGCCCTGCACTCACCTCTAACCATGATAAGCCCCCTTCGTGCAATGAGGACCATTGTTTTCAAGTGGCTGGGTGTCAGATCTTTCTGTAGGCATGGATATGATGGAACAGGCGCACCTTACTCATCCAAGTTGATGAATTGTTTTGCCATACGGGGTGCTTCCCTTTTTCCAGCTTAGACACCCCCACCTGTGATTTGGCGCACATGGAGCGGACAACTCTCACACTCAGCAAGGCCTTCTTTGGCAAACCCGGCTGTACCTATTTGCAGAGCAACGGTGAGCCAACACAAGCTGGGACCTTCCAGATGAATTCACACGTGAAGGTGCGCTCAAGGTGCTCTTAGCCTGGACCAAACAAAGATGTGGTTGGGGCAAAAGCTGAGATATGGAATTCGCACATTGAGGTTTCAAGGCTTCTCTGTGGTAAATGCATGTGGTTCTTGCACCTCTGACACAAGATCGGTGTCATGACGCCCTTGAAACCGACTACCCCGCAAGTGCAACCGCTTTTCGTTGTTTTTTCCGGGACATTCTGCCAATTTCGGCGCTTTTTGGGATGGCCGGTCAAGTACGTCTAATCTTTCCGCGATGACCTCAGAAAACTGTTGAGACTCCCTCTGCCAATTAACATGACACCTCACCAGGGGTCCCTTCTCCAAGCGAAAAAAAGAACTCGTGTCGGAATTGGTCGACCTTGGAAGCTGTTGGTCAAGCACTGAACGCCGCGGATTTCCTTCGAGTGTCCGTACAACTTCCTTCGTGGCGAGGCCAATGCCAGTCATGCCGCTGCCAGCCTTGGGCTCCGCCAGCTTGCTGATCGAGGCGGGCGTAAGGAACCGGGCCCCCGCCTGGCCTCGGCTTGGGTGGAGGAGTTGGGGGGGAGACGTGGCTGTGGCTCAAGTGAGGCTCGGCTAAAGTGTGGGTTTGGCTCCATAAGTTTGCAAGGGGGCATCTGAGGCCGTCAACCAGGGAATGGGATATCGGTTTAAGAAGCAGGATCCCAGCAAGCAGCGAGTGTGGTTTGAGCTCAGTTGCAGGTGACACACAGCAACTTGGGCTTTGGCCCTTTTCAACCCCCGAGGCTTGTCCAGCTTGGGGTCAGGTGGAGCTCGCAGGGGCGTCCTTCCGCCTGCCCACCGCCTGGGCCGCCAAGCAGGCGAGCCGAAGTCGAGTTCCAATCGAGTCACCGCCCTGAGGGGCCTGGGTCTGGAAGAGGCATGCGCCCTGAAAAATTCCCCGGAGCTCAGCTTCCATTTGCTTAAGAGTATGTATCATTTTTCCCTGTTGGTTTTAAAGGGAATCTAGCACTACTGGAAACATGTCTATTTTGCCCAGGGGTCTTAAGCAAATGGAGCGAAGTAGAAACCCCTAGTGGATGTTCATTGGGGTGTGTGTCCAATTCCTTTCAGAGGGGATTGAATACCCAGCTAGATATTCCCCTCTCCATTCACGGCGATTTTCGCTTTTTACGGGCTGGCACGCCGAGTTTGAAGGGACTGCACGGTTGGAGCCAGGGAAAACCCATTCACAAGGGCGGTCACGCGTGGAGCACCTGCGGCGTGTGACTCGCTGTTCGCTTGCCAGGACTACTTCGAGTTCCGGGGATTGTCCCAGGACAGCGCCTGCCTCATCTCGCTGCTGGTCTGTGAGGCGACCGCCGAGAGCTGGCGAGGTTGGCAAGGTTGGGTGGTCATTCCAATCTAAAAACTGCGAACGTGGTTGCGCATGTCCTTTGTCCTTGTGCCGCTGGGGCGTGCCGCACTGCAACTACAGGTGTATATATATATATATATATATATATATATTGTTTGCGTTGAACTGGGGTAACCTCATTGATCATGGCTTGCATGAGTAGTAGTATCAGGAAACTAGACGAGGAGGTGAAGAAGGTTAGTTTCTAGAAACACTTTGGATGCCACCAGGGCTTTCACTTGCCGGTTTGGTTGCGCTTCTTTAGCAAAAACACATGGCATTGTGGCTCCGAAGCTCTTCCGGATCCACAGCAAGTCATCATGTGGGGGTGTGACTGTTGAGGGCACCCCTTTTTGCTGGTGTTAAAGGGAAACCAACAGAACAACCACCATTTTGTGGGTCCCCCCAAAAAATACACATTTATTTGGTACAGACATTTTTGCTGGTCAGACGAAGAGCGGAGTGCCTGAACCTGACCTTTGCTGGTGTGTCCCGCTATTGGCTGGGGAGCAGGGTTTATGTTTATGTGAAAAGTGTTGCTTCTCCCTAGTCATGTTCACCTGGCCCAGTCAAAATATGGGAGTTCTCCCAACGGAGCCGTCAAGCCACGGCACCAACTCCGGAGCCCACCTCACCGGCTCCAAAAACCACAAAACGGCCGGGTTGGCCTGAAGCGACCTTGGAATGCTCGGTACAGAAAGCGGTCATGCCTGTGAATTTGTTATTCATGTAAGTTCGCTGAAAAGCGCCTGGTGGGTGTACAGGAAAGTGATCTGGCAATTTTTTTTCCAGGGGATTGCAGCACGTGGAAGTTGTTTGAGTTGTTGCTTTTTGTTCGTTGTTGTTTCTTCTCCTTGTTGGTTCCTCGTTTTTTTTGGTTCCTCCTTTTTTCTGAAGAATTGTAAATAATCAGGCTAGACTAATAAACATGTTCCCTATTGTTTGCAACAACAACATTGTTCTGATGGCCAAGCAGAAAGCGGAAACGGAACATTGTCCCGCTCCCCCCCCCCCACAAAACAAAACACACAAACAACAAAACATAGAAACAAGCGGGAAAAATAAAGAAGAACAAAACCGAGAAAAGAAGAGCGGGTGGGGTGTTTTAGCACCTGTTTTTGTTTGTTGTTTCAGTGGTCAGGACTGCTTTTCCCTCGCCTTTTCGCTGGACCAAAACCCCTCGGCCGCGCAAAAAACCCGCCAAGCGCGCGGAGGCGGGGCTGGAGCTGTCCCGCGTGACGTTGCAGGGCTGCCGGGTGCAGCGCTGCAAGGAGGGCAACGCGGTGCGGCTCGGAGCACATGGCGTCGGTCCCCGGTTCGCGGGCGGAGCCGAAGAGTCCCCGACAGCGGGGTGTTTCTGTTTTCTTTTGTGCGTGTTTCTCTTGGTGTGAGGGCCATGAAATGACACCAACAGGAAAACCGCCATTTGTTTTGAGGTTCCTAGCTCCTACCAGGGTCACTGAGCAACTGAGTCAAGAAACTCCTTGCCAGAAGGTCCCCTTGAAGATGATTTGGTGAGACGTTGTAATTGTATGTAAAGAGAGCTAGGGCAATTGTATGCATGATGCTATTTTCTTTGTAGAACTTTACACATGCAATTAAATTATATAGAGAGAGAGAGAGAGAGATGGAAGGAGACAGATGTAACATATTGCATATACATTTGCATGTATACATATACACATGATCAGACTTTTGGATGTTTCATACTTATACACAACATATGCATATTTACATATCAGCATAGTAGTGGATATTTAGTATTTCTATACAAACTCGTTGGTGGTTGGAAGGGGTCGCCTTGGCGTTAGGCTGAGCAGCGACTTCGGTCTCCGTGCCGCGGGGCGGACCTGGGCCTCCGGGGGTCAGAGCGGCCTCATCCTGCGGCCGGGTCGCTTCCGGGGTTTGTCGTTTTGAGTGTGTGGTTTGGTTTTAGTGTTTGTTTGTTTCTTGTTGTTTTTCTTTTTCTGGGGGGGGTATTTGCTTTGGTCAGTTTTTTGGGGATCTTGTTTTTTGGCTTTAAAGTTGGTTGTCAGTTTTGCAGGTTTACTGTTGGTTGGTTTGCCTGTTGGTTTCTTTGGCCGGTTCTAAAGGGAACCCACAAGGAAACCGTTGCCATTTGCTGGGTTTCGATTTCCCAGAGTGCCGCGCAAATTTCTTGGGAAGCATCGGAGTAGTAGAGCTAGTGAGAGAGGCGGTAAAAGGAGCTATGACCTTGTTCCATTGAACCCCAAATCGGATTGTGCGTTGGGTTGCCATTTTGCCTGAGTCACCGAATTAATCTTCTGTAAAGGGATAAGGTAATCATTAGGAGGGCCCACTTTATCACAGAAAGGGTTATGACCCACGAACTCGTGCGAATTACAAGGTGATCTCCACATAGGTCCGTAGCAACTCGACTTTCACAGCCAGTTTTGCTGGTCTCATTTTGGCCGAGTACCACAGTAGCCTCAACCTAGTGCATCTTCGCGCAAGCCTGAAGTTTATCCTTGCTTCCCCAAGTTCTCGCACTCTGTGCAAACCAGCTGTCGTGCCCGACGGGATGGAAGTCTTGTAGTTATAGAGTAGCAAGGCGTACCCCCACGATTGCTGCACCAACCACTTGGGGCTGGGGCTTGTCATTGGATATGTTCTTATTTTGTTGTCTTTCCATTTTTCCTTTGAACAAACAACGACCCACCCTTTTATTGCGTGCCAATCGCTTTTTTGTGCTGCTTGTCATTTGTTTCAAGGAATGTCGCTCAAGGCTGCCCCATTTGGGTGGAGTTCAACAATTCGCCTTTTGGCCAAATCTTGGTTGAATGGGCTGTGGGTGCCTACATTTCCCCTTTGACCATCACCCCATCAGCAGGGAAACTCGCTTAAACGTGGCCACCACAATCTGATGATTACAGCCAAAGGGGAAATGCCGACTCTGACCGCTTTAAATTGCACTTTTGGTTCCATCATTTGCCCTTTGAACCATCAACAAGTTGTAGCTTTTTGAAATGCGTCGGATCCGTTTCCCAATAACAAAACTCTGATCCAGCTGGGTAAGTCTCAACGTCTTCGGCCAGAAATCCGACCTTCGAACAGTTTCTCTGGAAACCCTCCAGCTAAGTCTCATCTTGGGCCAGAAGTCCGAGCTTCCAACAATTCCTCTGGGTTTACCCGCGCATTTCCCCCTAGAAGCCTCAAACCTCGAACCTGGTGCCCCAGTTGGGCGGGGTGTTCTCCCGGGCGGAGGCCAGTGGAGCTGCAGCCCTTCGGGCTGCGCGTCTTCCAACGGGACCTCGGGGCCTTGCAGCGGCCCCGGGTTCCCGTCGGCCCCGAAACGTCGAAACGTCGTGGACGGCGAAACGTCGACGGCGCGGCGGGCGGCGGGCGGAAGAGGAATGGCTGTGCTGGGTCCACAAAATACGGCATGTGAAGGTATGTTGCTTTGGGTTTTACGGAAAATCACGAAATAGGGGTTGGTACGGAACGTTGCTTGGTTTTGGTTTTAACAAAAAGATGGAAGACTTCTCAAAAAATAGTTGGTCACCCCACAATGGATCGGGAAATGGAACCAAGGACGAAAACATGTTGCGGGTCAAACTCTGGTGGTTGCATTGTGACCCATACCAATGGGGATTGATCAAAAGGTCCGGTAAACAGGGGGTTATGATTGAGATTTCAACCACATGGGAAACGTTACCCAGGGTCAAAACTGGGTGCCGAGCGGAATACGGATCAACCCCAAAACTTGGACACCTGAGAAAGAAAACGAAAACCCAGAAGACATACGTAAGAACAACATAGAACAACCATTGAAACTAAATTACACCAATGATGAAACACTTGGGGCGCTTGTTTTGTCCAGTGGTTTCTGGCTATTTAGGCGGTCAAGGCGATGTTGCCGAAGATCCCAGGTAAAGTTTATGATTGAAGGTTGACCATGGGTTCGTCTTTTTGAGGCTCGGTACCCTTTTTGGTTGGCACAGGGAAACCGAAAGGAAACCCGAAGCCCGTTTTGTGGATCCCCGAAAAAGCGAACTCACCCATACAGGTGAAGTGGTTGAGGAGTTTTGATACCTAGACCAACATGGCTGGGACCCCTGCGCGGGAGCTTGTCTGGAGGTTGGGCGTCAGCCATTGCCAAGCTTCTTCAGCTGCTCCGCCATATGACACTCCTTCAAAAATGGAATTGAAGAAACACATGCCAGAGATGTTTGTCCTACAAATGGCACTGGTTTCAGCTTGGTTTCAATCATTCGCCAGTGCCGTCGATTTTTTCAGAAGCACACTAAGCGATTTATTTTCTGTGGTTGGAAGACTCGAAACGCGTAATTAGTTTGCGCACTCTTTCCAGTGCCTTTCCCGTCAAAGACTGAATGTGAAATGCCTCCAATAATGACAAGATCTGATCTTCGGAGTTCCTCTGCCTCTGTTGGCCTACTGTTAGTCTTGCCCCTAAAAGGCAAACTTTTCATGGCGTTGTTTTTTGGGGCGACTGAAGAACGCGTCAAGGGCTCTTGCAAAAGGTTTAGAACCTGCATGACCTTGGACCTGCCGTCCACAACCCGCGTTGGCCAACTTGCAAATTCTGATTGGTGTTTCCCTGGTTGTATCCTTTTCATCCTTTCCAAGGGTTGAAATGACGTACGGAAGGGGCGCCAAAGAGAAGCTCACTCCGTGCGTTTCTGTGCTTGAGTCACTTCTTGGGAAGACCGATCAAAGTTGTGGGCATCCAACCGTATGTTACGTGCTTACTTGTTGGTACTAGTGGTAAACAACCAGGAAGGACTTAATTTGTACCTATTTGTGAAGCCAATCGGTGCAACCGTGGAGCCTGGGCCACGCCGCACGGACCGGACAAATCGGCCCGAGGCAAAATGCGCTGAGCGCCCTGGTGAGCCTCGAGGCGGACTCCGCGGAGCCTCTGGAGGCGAGTTCACGTCCGATCGGCGAATCGCTGAGTGTGGAATGCACGAAGTCGGTGCACCAGTGGACACATTTTCCTGCAGTTGGTAGATTGTGATTTAACTTCCCAGATCACAAGGTTGTGGAACAGGATTGTGGAACAGGGTTGCTTTGCTTCCGAAAAAGGAACTCGAGGTTCGTGCCCCTTCCTTCAACAGAGCTTGTCGTTCATATCAGGGTGGTGGTTGCTCACTCGGGGTTTATGCACTGTGATACAAGGCTTGGTGGCTCCCAGCCATCCTGTTCCTTGTGTTGTTTTGTTTGTTTTGTTTTGTTGCTTTGTTTTCTTTTCAGTGTTTCCACTCTGCCCACTAAAAGTTAAACTTTGAGAGTGAGGACGGCCCAGGGAATCTGTTCTGAATTTTAAGTCACAGTGGGTTCCATTGGGCTGTAAAAGCAAGCCATAGGTGGACGAAGTCCATTTCGCACCAAATGGTTGGAACCATAAAGGCTGTTGGGCTTTGCTGCGGATCAACGATGTCCCGCACTGCTTGGTAGATTGTTATAAGTAAACTCCCATAATTTTATCCATCAGTTGTGACATCCATCATCCCTGGTGCCAGATTGCGTTCATCTACTTAAGTTATTGATGGACACCAGGGATAGATGATGTGAAAACTAATGGATAAAGCATCGGAACCAACAATCTACAAACTGGTCCAGGAGATTTTGTGCACAGGTGAACCAGATAAGCCAGGGCCATCAGTCCGAAGCCTTTAATGTTGACCCGTTACCTCTGAGAATTGCACTGGGCCCACAACAGGGTTCCTTTTGTTTCCTCTTAAAACTTCGCCCCACCAAGAGGACACCCACCTTACAAGGGCCCAACAGGTGATGTTTAATGTCGACCCCGGATCTAAGCAGAACCCGTCCCGGCCTAGGGGTCCCTCCAAAAGTGGTCTGAACATAGAAGGGGACATTCCCCGACCAACCAGAGGTTCAGCAAAATCCCGCGGTTCCCAGTGGGGAGGATCCGATTTGACCAACAGGAGGTTTTCTTAGGGATAGTTTCTTGGTTTCCCGAAACCTGCGATTTTGCTGCGAAAAGTCTTCTTGAAACAGACACCCCGGCTTGAATTAAGTTGCACATAGATGTTTGTTTTTGTATGGCTATCAGTAACGTACACATAGATGTATATATGTACGTATAATATTCGCGGGCTCTTATTTGTTGTGATTATGCACAAATTTGGAGCCAAAGCAACTGCAGCCGTAGCAGCGCACAAGTGTTAGGCGCTATCAATGAATTTATGTCATGACCTTCCTGCCTCTTCAATGATTCTTTAATTTTAGGAGGTTAGGTACTTGTAGATCCAAAAGTATAGAAGCTCGGTAAACCTCAGTGGGTTTCGCTAGGTTTGTTGCTTCCCTCAAACAAATCCAACATGGCGGGTGATGTAATTGTATGTAACTCCTACACATGCAAGGACGTGTACATAATATTCTATTCTATGTGGTGAATTGCAGCTTTGTGATCCCAGGTCGCCCATGGTGAGGGTTCCTTTCGTTGGAAGCCCCCAATATCCGATGGCTCCGATGGGTTGGTCGAGCTTCACCTTGGCTGCGTGCCATCGTTATACAGCAGTCTCAGCTTCAAACTTCCGTGGTCCACCTTTGCACGCCTCAACGTCACCATCCGCAAAAAAGAAGGCATCCTTTTGGAAGCGACGCATCTTGACATGTGAATTGCTATTGACTATGTTATGAGGGTCTTTACAGGGCTGAAACCTTATTTTGGCTTCTCGGCGAGTGATCTTGTATGTGTTCTACCTTTTAAAGTTGGGAGGATGGGACCCTGGTGACTTGCTTGCAGACTTACCCCAAAGGAGCTCATCATTTGGACGGTCCCTTCTTTATAGATTAGTTTCCACATCTGTACTATGAACACATATTTACGCCTAGAGATAGATACATCCTAGTCATACAACTTCCGGGCAAGTTGTTCCGTCCTCCGCGTAGCTTTGCCACCTCGCCATGAAAGCTATACGCGTATCGCATAAGAGGCTTCCAGTTTTTGGGGCTGGTGCTCGAGAATTGCATTCGTTCACCCGTGCACCAGTCGTTTGCAAGTGAGTCGTTTCGATCAACCCACACTTCACTCCCCCAGAAAACAGAAAAACAAAGAAGAAAAACGAGAAAACAAGAAGAGTTGCTTTTCTTGTTCTTGGTCGGCGAGTCACTTTGACAGCTAGTATCATTTTGTGGAGAATGTTAACAACGGATTAATAAACCCCTGGTTGATTAATAATTGGGGGGGGTCCCCTTTTAGTGGGGATTCAGACCACTTTTGGGGAACACCCCCCCTAATCCCCAAATAATGGGACGGGTTCTACTTAGATCCTGGGTCAACATTAGCCGTTGGCTTGGGTGTGTCTCTTTTTGAGGGTACCCTTTTGGGGAACCATTTTGAGACCAATTGGCGAATCGCTGGGACTTTGCTAATGGAACAACATAACCATGTCAGACACCGACTCGAGGAGCTCCTGGCGCGTGATCCCCTGGCCAACACCACGGTGTCTTGCTGGAGCCGGGGGGCCTGAGGAGAACAGCTGGCCCAAAAAAGGGGCGGTGGGAGGTGGGTGGGTGGGGGGGGGAGAAAGTGCATCGTTAGTTGTTGTTTTCCGGGTTTTACTTGATGAATTTGATGAGGATGATGATGAGGATGATCATGAGGATGAGGATGATGATGATGATGATAATGATGATGATGATGATGATGATGAGGATAATGATGAGGATGATGATGAGGATGATGATGAGGATGATCATGAGGATGAAATGATGATGATAATGATGATGACGATGATGATGATGATGAGGATGAGGATGATGATGATGATGACGATGATGATGATGATGATGATGATAATGATGATGATGAGGAGGAGGATGATGAGGATGATGATGAGGATGAGAGGATGATCATGAGGATGAGGATGATGATGATGATGATGACGACGATGATGATGATGATGACGAGGATGATGATGATGATGATGATGATGATGATGATGATGATGAGAATGATGATGATGACGATGATGATGATAAGGATGATGATGATGATGACGCTGATGATGATGTTGATGATGATGATGATAATGATGATGATGATGAGGATGATGATGAGGATGATGATGAGGATGATGAGGATGCTAATGAGAAGGAGGATGATGACGATGATGATGATGATGACGACGATGATGATGATGATGATGATGAGGATGATGATGATGATGACGACGATGATGATGATGATGATGAGAATGATGATGATGATGAGGATGATGATGAGGATGATGATGAGGATGATGATGAGGATGATGAGAATGATGAGGATGAGGATGATGATGAGGATGAGGATCATGTTGGTTGATGACCATGTGCAGTTCAAACGGATGGCAACAAATCAATCGGCGCAGCACCAAGAGTTATTCCCAAGTCGCCATTTACCCAGAAGGTAAACCTTGAATATTCAGATCCTGCAGGTAGTGCACCTTCATTTGACTGAACACATTGTGGCGACCTGACAACAGGAGGTTTGCACCATCATGATGAAGGCTTCTTCCTTGCAGGTGGTCCAGAAAAAGAGCGAACGGGAGCAAGATGAGGGTTTTGTCTTCAGTCTTTCACAGGATGCACCCTCCCAGCCTTTTGACATGGAGCCTGACACCCCAAAAGGAAAATGGCTCCGACGTTAGGACCCGAAGGTCAGGTTCCCTGTGAATTGGTGGGGACCTGGTAGGGCTCGTCCGGCCGCACCGGCAAGGCTTGGAGCTTCATGGTGGCGTCGGCATTCGCGAGCAGAAGCTGCTGGGACGAGAGGGGCCGATTCGGCGAAGGGCGACGACCTTTTGACCATACCCCTTCTTGCAACAGAAGGGCCCCTCGTGCGGGGTGGGTTTTTTTGACACACAGGGATTTAGTAGTTGTTTGGGTATGTTGCAAACTACCGACCCTCCGCTTGTGATCCTTTTGAACCTCTTTTGCCTTGGCTCTGCGGTTTTGACCTGCGACATGTTTCACTTCTCTGAAGAATGAGCAATGTTTCTGGCTTGCAAAGCATGAGGAGCATTTGGTAGGGATCGGTTTGATGTGCCCAGTTTAGGTCGAGAAAGGTGCGCAGGAAGCCCTGAAACTTGGTTGCTCTCCCTAAAGCAAAAGGACCGAGCTGCCCCAGTGGCGTTGACTCAAAACGGGGCGTGGAACCGTCGGCTTGGCCGCGCCCGAGGAATCATTTGATCGATTTGCAAGTCCTGGACAGCTGCCGCCTGAGTTCAGTGAGCACGTTGTGCGAACGCCTGGGCGTGATAGCTCAGTTGGTTAGGGCTTGTCCCGTTTGTGGCTGTCCCTCAAATGCCAAGCCTCAACAGACATATGTTCCTTCTTGCTCCCCATGGCTAGGTGGGTCAGGGTTGGCCTATGGGCCTTTCGGAACATAAGCCAGGTTTGGCGTTGCCCCGAAGCCTCGCGCAAACACAGTTTTTGTTCAGAATTGGCAGCGAACAAGCCATGAGACCTGAAAAGTTGCGCAAGGCCACCCTGGGCGATATGGGGACAAACTGATAAGGTTTTCAATGGTGGACCACAACATCAAATGTTAGCAGTCACCATTCAATGATGGCGCTGGTTTGACAGCCTTCACGTGCTTGGTAGGAATTTGAGGAGGATGTGAGCAGGATAATCGGATAGACTAAAAGTGCTGAACCAGCCTCCAATGGTCGCCGGAGCGGCATGTTGTATGCATAGAATCCCCTTGGGGGCAGTAGTCCAATGGCCGATATGGTGTCTTGTTGAAGCAAATGGTCAGAAATCCATTGATTATGAATCACAAGCCCCTTGTTTTTGCGACCAGATGTCCAGGGGCTTCCGGAAGTCAAGATCAGCTCCGGACATGCGAATAGACAAGTGAATAAGAGCCAAGCGGAGAACCAGCATCGACTGCGCTCTGAAAAGGTCGCCCGCAACACTTGGTGTAAGGGTTCCCCAGATGTCCAGAAAAGGGGGTCCTTTGAGTCCCCCTGAACCCTCAAAATTCCCTTAAAAATGGGTTTGACCCCCAAAATTATGGGGTGATGTCCCATTTTTATGGGTAGTTTGAGGGTCCAGGCCCATGTTTGCAGATTCCTTGAGTCTGCGCCTGCAAGCAGGAATCATGGACATCAAACCGGGCGGCTTCACAAGCTTTGGACACTGAAAATCGTTGGCTCCCCTCCACTTTGGATCAGGGTGTCTAACCCCCGGTCAGTTGGCCGAAGGCCAGCCGCCGCAGGTGCCTATGTCTGACACGTTCAAGGAGAATGACTTGGGGAGAAGTGGGAGCAATTCACACACATTGACATGTGGCTATCGTTTCCGAATTGGCAAGAGAAGCACAAGCAAGACAAGCAAAGCAAAACGGGTCAAATTGAGTCTTTCCAGTTCGCTCCGAGGCCGGATGCACGGCAAGCTGTTGGACGTGCGACTGCGGGTGCCGTCCATTCAGGCAGCACCTCGGCCTGTGGACCGATGTGAGGGTTCTGAGTTGAAAAGCGACATGGACGCCTTTTTCTGGTTGTTTTAAAATGAGAAACCAATGTGACACGATTTGTTTTGGTCTGTATTTTAAGACACACCCAAATCTACATGTCACCCAGTTTGTTGTGCTTGGTGTGGATTTTACTAATATAGTTGGTTTATTCTCGGAAGCTAAATCTGCCAACACGGGGCCCCTTGTACATCAGTCGGTCTTCCAGGTGCCTACAGATGCTATGTGTGTAGGAAGGGTAGATGTCACCTAGCCTGTGCTTCTAGGTGTTTCTGTCAAACGCTAGGTACCGGATGTCCTGAATGTTTAACTCACTTGATACTCCAAAGCAATGCACAGGGAACCCCAGGAAAACACCTTCTATCACGTCAAGTTGGAATTTACAGGCACTATTGAACCATTTGTATTAACCAACCCGCAAGGGGGAAGCCAGTTCTTCTCACATACCAACCTGTTTGTTGTTTGTGGCCCAAGTGTGGATCTCCTCTTGAATCCATATACTGTGGTTGCTCGGAGAACCGATTTTTCCAAAGCAACCTTCAACATTGAAAGTGTTTTCAGTACTCAGTGCCTTGAGCTATGTCTTAAAACTCGGCTGGACCAAAGCATGGTCGGCTGCCAGAAAGCAAGTGTACCAAAGCAACCCGTGCTATGTCGGAGCTCCCCCAGTGAGCTGCCATTTTCGGGGTTGACGCTCAATTCGAGCCTAGTTTGTCTTGTTCGGGATATGATATGCTACGAACCGTCCCGTTCTGTGAGAAGATCTCTGCCAAAATGGCCTTCGGTTTTCCATCGGCTTTCCTCGGACAGCCAAAACAAAAGTAGGAGTATCCTCAAAAACGATCCTTGCGAAGTGATGGGAAGGCTTCAGCTTGTCCGTTGTGAGATGAGCCGAAGCCGGTGGATGCATTGGATTTTGCTGTTCGGGAATCAACTTGACAGGCGAGACCTGTACATTGCGCCAAAGCCATGTAAAACGCGAGATGGAAAGACTAGTGAGCACATGTCAACGAGTGTTGCGGCAAAATAGGGGAGATCAACCCAGATGAACCATAAGTTGATAAAGTGTCCTTTTATCAGCTTTCAGGTGTGAGTTGCTTGAGTGCGCTGCTCCTCGATCAAATGGGCATCACGCTGCAAGAAGCCAAGGAAATCAACACGCAGACCAACTGTCCCACCCGCGTGCGGTTCTGCAACTTGGCAAGAGTTCTGCGGCCTTGAGTCCATTCAGCATCATGCAAGCTTTGTGCATCTTACGATCGGTTTCCCTGACAATGAAGGCGTTGGAGATTAAGTGGGCCCTTTGCTGCATTTTGCATTTGCAGTTCAGGTTTGGGCTTCTTCTGTACGGCATGATGCTGGTCGGATCCCTTTTGTCCCCGCATTTTTCCTTGGGGATGCTTCCTGGCCATCGTTCGAATCCTGAATTCGAGGCCTGACCGGGCTGGAGCCAGAGGTGCGGGGGTGAAACTCGCAGGGTTGTCTAAAACTGATAACACCGAACCCTCTTTGAAAGCGAAAACCCACATGGAGTTGCTGTTCTTCCTTCCAATTTTCGAAGCAGGGCTTGTCTGTCGGTGTTTCACCTTTGCACCTTTGCACTTTTGTAGCAGATGACCCCTGGTTCAGTCAAACCAACCATTTCAAGTTACAGGCAAAATCGCAACCAATGTCAAAGGATTGCCCGTTTGATTCGCATCAAATCGGGTAGACTCCTGTGCACTTGAGTCTGAGCTGTGGGCCGCTTTACTTGTTTTGCCCTCAATTTGCTGCCTCAAGATGCCTCATTTCCAGCATTGCCTTGCCCTGGTTTTGGCGGCGGTGAGCTTCCAGAGTTGTACTCTCGACTTCGTGCATCGCATCCCGGGACCCCGCTCTCTCCGAACAAGCCAGAAAAACTCCGTAGCACTTCTCCAGGACACAAAGGACTTGGTTGTATCTCCAGAGACCCATGCCACAGATCGGTTCCGTCCCATCTTCAACATTGAAGATACGGTCAAGAAGCACCCCCGCTTGGCGGCTTTCTTGGATGACATCCGCTTGGCTTCATTGGTCTTCCATTCAAAGCTAGGCCATACCTGGTGGATGAGTGCATCGATTGGAAGTGCGAAGGTTCCATCCAGGATGACCCCTTCTATCGCTTGGTGTTCCCCACCATGGACATGCTATCTCCTCGGCACCAAGAGCGCCTCCTGGCAGTGAGGGACAAGCCATTTGACTTCAAGAAGGCTGTGTCTCAGATCCGCCAAGAGTTGAACCCACATCCAGCAGGGCAGAAGGAACTCAACACTCCAAAGGAAGATGTGCTGACAGGAGTTCAGCACAAGTACGACGCCACAGTGCTGTTTTTCCCAGCAGCTGGGCAAACATGCCACGCATACTGCACCTATTGCTTTCGCTGGGCTCAGTTCATTGGAGAGTCTGACCTCCAATTTGCACAAGCAGATGCTGAGAGTCTCTTCACTTGGGCAAACATGAAGAAGTCAGTGATGTTCTCTTCACCGGCGGTGATCCAATGATCATGAAGACTCAAACTCTACGTCAGTACATCGAGCCCTTCAAGGACCCCGAGTTCCTTCCTCACATCCGGAACCTCCGCATCACGCGTGCTTTGACCTTCTGGCTTCTATTTCCGCCACGGGACTTCAGCAACTGGAAGTCTGAGAGACTTATCGAAGGGGGTTCTAAGTGCTTTGGTTTCCTACGTGGAGCCTCCTTTTCTTGCTGACGCCATTGGCACTTTCGTCGGTAAGAGTGCAATCAACTGAGGTTCTTGGCCCGGGACACCGGAGCGCAGACGTTCTTCAGCGTGCCCTTAGCCAAAGCGCACGAGACATTTGCGAAGGCTGTTTGGTCGACATCAGGCTTGTGTCGAACAGCGCGAGGTCCAAGCATGAGTTGCACACCAGGAAAGGTGGAGGTCACAGGTATTGAAGATATCATTGGACAGCCCGCCTTTGTGCTGCGCTTCGTCTAATGCAGAGATGAGTCCTTGGTAGGAAGGGTCTTCTTCGCCAAGTACGATCCTCATGCCACGTGGTTCGACGACTTGGAGCCTTTGGATGGCATGGCTTTGCCATGGGACACACGCGGACTTCCAATACCAATGCAGATCAGCCAGACAAGCTCATAAACGCTCAGGATGAAAGGCCTGAGCTCGAGCGTCTGACACAGGCCAGCATCGCTTCTGGACCTTCGTGCATACTCGGGAAATCATACCAGGTTTTGCCGCCAAACCTAAAGCTCCTAAACACTGCACCATTGCAATGCTCGCGGCCTTTGACAGATGAAAAGCAGCTTTGGGGTCAACAACTTCATGCAGTTTGCAAGTTTGTCAAACCATGCAACGGCGATCCAAAGTTGTGCGGTGCAGAAAAGCGTTACCCATTTTGACCGCAAAACGCCCGCAATGTCCGCAAATCTCATGCAAAAAAACCCGCAAACTCCCGCAAATCAGAACCAACCGTAATTTTGATGATCAAAGCAATCTGGCACGGCAAGGAGTCCTGGATCTGGCCGTGTGCTACTTTATCTTCAACCTGTTTTCCAACTTCCCCAAACCACATGTGTTTTTTTTCACCTGTCACACCCTCAACCTGGTCATCAATCACAGCTCCCCCGAGTTGTGCTACCGGGTTCTTTGTCCTTTTTGTGTACTTCATTGATGCCATTTGATTCCCTGTGTTCTTCGCCCGAAACCGCAGTGGCTAAACCACTGGAATTCGGTAAATCGCAGGGTCTCCCTACCACACCCAAAGATTTCCGGAGTTGGAAGGTCCAGGCTTCAAGCTTCCTGCGCCGCAGCGCTTGCGTGGACGGCTGTGTTCTTTTGTCCACGGATGCTGGCATGGCCTAAGGCCAAGACTAGTATAGTGCCTCTCTATATACACATATATATTCTATTCTCGATTTTCAATGCAGATGAGTCTGGCAATCTGCTCGGTCGCACTGAGAAAATGCGTCGGCCACTGGCACACATGTCCAAACCTCGCACGTATGGCTGCAATGGTTGCTTCCCTGTTTTGTTTGCAGGATTCCACGGAGCAAAAGGAACATTGTTGATGTGCAAGGGTTCCTGTATTTTGTTGTTTTTGCGTATGTTTGTTTAAAGGCTTCCCATAATATGAGTCTACTTCTTAGAAGTTGATCCAAAAGGTTTCCAAATGATCTAACTAGTTCTGCTTTGTATTGCGTTCATACCTTTGGATGGTTCATTTGTCTACACCACACCACCATTCGCATGATCGTCCCATAGTATCGCTATATCTAGACATCATGTTTATATAGACTCTAGTCTATCTAAATGTATATATATATATATATCATATACTTAGTGTTTCCCAGCCATCCCCTGAAGATTTTAGCGTTTTAGGGTTTTGCGGTAGCCTCCATTTGGCCAACTATAAGTTGTTCACCTTCAGGGGATTGCTTCTCACGGCGAAGTCTTCGGCTGGATTGCCAGGTGAGCGCCTGCAACCGCACAGTGCAGGCCATGGAGCCGGTGCTGCTGCCTCTGCGCCCGTTCAGCCCAGATCGACGCATCGGAAGGGGAGAAAGAAATGCGTTTCGGGAGCAGAGAATCGGAGGGGGGCGGGAGGGGTTCTTTAGATATGTTGTTTCATATACCATCTTTGTTTTTGGGTTTGTTCCCCTTGCGTGTTTGTTGTAGTTTGGTGTTTCCGGTTGTGTTGGCCCATTGTTTTGCTGATAGCTTGTGAAGAGTTCAAAGCATTTGTTTGTATCGGGTTGACATTCACAGGTTTTCTCCACGGGCGCCGGCGAAAGTACTGTAAAAGTTTGGCCCTCTTGGGCCTGGACTCGTCAAGTCTCAGTTGGACCCCCCGTTTGGCGCCAGTTTAAACCCACTAAACAAGGCTACCCTGAAAAAGGGCACTCAGCCCCTTGTGGGTATATCGGAAACCATCCCCGCAAAAACACCAAACCACCGAATCGGCTCCAAACCAGCAGAGGGATGCTGAAAGTCAGCACCGAGCAATCGTTACCCTGCGCCCTTGCTATCGGTTTGGGGCGCGGTCTGAAGGTTGAACAGTTCCTTTGCTATCGACGTGGCGAAACAGACCACCAACCCAAGCCCCCAATCCAACGAGTGGCTTGAACCTGGGCCTACCCAAATTCACAAGTCAGAAGTCAGAGAGCCCGAGGCCAGGCGAGCCCGCACAAATTTGCAAGCAGCGCCCCCACCACCTCATGTGGTCGCTTCCTTTTGGTGAGCGCGTGGCTTTGCTCTCTCGTTGTAGACTCAAGTGGAGCATAGAGACTTTGGAACGAACCCTCCTAATGCGCGCACATGTACATATGTGTTTTTCATTTTTTTCGCAACTAAGCAGGGCTGATGAAACCTAACGTTTTCCCTGCTTTGCTTATTCCCTTACCCCGTTTTAACAAGGTTAAGGGGAATTGTTAGTTCCCATCCCCCTGACAGGTAAGAATAACAATTGCTTATACCAACGTGGGAGTACACGATATCATGTTGAGGAGATTTGGCGTGTTACAATATCTGCCGGAGCATGGAGTCAGCCACCACTGCAGTTGATCTGAGTTAGGCAAACAAATCTCCGTGTTGGATCTGTGAGAGTTGTTTATGCCAAGACATTTTGGGCTAAAGTTTGCCAACCAAGGTAGACGTCAAAGGCCGAGTTGTGTTCATGGCTATGGTGGGCATTCCAGATGTCATCAGCAAGGATCCAATGAACCCATAACCAGAGGCTCATACCAGGAGTCCATAAAGGAAAGCGCGCATTCAGTTTTTGAGCTCTTGCCCTATTCCCACAGTATTCCAAGTTCCGTTTTTCGGGAGTTTCTATGTTGCAGTTTGCCCCCCTGCCTGCCCCTCCCCCTCCCCTCCCAATAGAATACAAAAACAAACAATGATAAGTTTTTTTGGGTTGAGTAGAAGCACCCTGAGGCGAAATGTTGCAAATCCACTTGTGACTTTGGTAGTTTAAGCACCCGCGGCGGTCAGTTGTGCTGCTGGTTGATTAGCGGAGGGATTGTCTTTGGTTGCAAAATAGAGTAAGTGTTCATCCACCATGCAGCGGGAGAAAGTCAAATTTATCATGCAGATTCTTCCACGGGTCTGTCATTTTACCCGTTCTTTTGTTGATTTGCCTCTAAGGACACACCGACCCACCCTCTGGCCAATTCACCGATCCGACCCACCCCCCGCCTGCACCGATCTCCGCGGGGCCACGCCGAGGCCTGGACGCCGAGTTCCGGCGGGCGGAGAACTCCTCCGTGATGAGCCTCATCTCTAGGCGCGTCCGAGTTCCGGCGGGCACTGAGTGGGTGTCCCTTTGGTTTGCCCCGAAATTGTGCCAAAAAAAACAGCATCCGACGGGTTGAGAAGCTGCAGTTGATAAAATTCCAGGGTATTGCTAGGGGTCAAAATAGATCCTTCATCTTTGTTCCAGATGGTGGTTTCCCTTTCCTGCTTAAGGCAGTGCCAAGAAGGGTGCCTTTGCCCCTCAAGGAGAAAACCGAGGAAAGCCAAAGTGTTTGTAAGGATCGAGGCAATGATTGGGTGGCATCAGCCACCAATTGATTGCATTCACTGCGCAACGAGAAAGGGAAAACGAAACCCTTAGTTTCATGCCAGACGCCCAATCGTTCCTCGATACTCCCATGATGAAGGTCCTTTGCGTAGGGCTGCCAGAAATTTGTTTGAGACGGGTTGAGAAACCAGACTTTGCAAGTATGCCGGCTAGATTTCAGAGGACAATCTAGAGGGTCCCTTCATATTCCACAATATTATTACCAGGTTGAAATTTTGAATATACATCCACTACGTTGTTTACTAGTCCGGTCTCAGACGCTTTGATGACTTGCAAGGCAGAGCATAGTACAGATGCAAAGGGTAGAAAGCTGTGTGTAGGCTATGCTAGGTTGCACGGTGCACAACTGTTGCGCAACACTTGCGCAACGGTGCACACAAGGAGATAGTGATGAGTCAAGGCTAAGCCCGAAAGGCTCATTTACGTTCACGAGAAGAGTGTCAGCCAGAGAGAGTGCTCGCTCGAGAAAGCCAGGGGGCTCGCGCCTGCACCGGGAGCCCATCACAGTCACAGCATGTTTGCCTGTTTTCGGCCATACCCATGTGGTCAGTGCCTCTTGGGTAGGTGGAGTCCTGACGGCTACTTTGTACTTCAGCTCCTTGTGCTTGAGAGTTCATCTGAATCCTGTTTCTCCCAGCCGGGAGGCTAGGAGGCCCAGCCTCGGGTTTAGATCTTCAACGTGCTCTTGGCGAAACCATACGGCAAGTTCATGCCACATGACAATGACCCTGGTGCCTCGTGGGAAACAGATACGTTCACCGCAGACCAGTTCTGTTGTCTGGAATTCGTCCACAGCGTGGTGTTTTGCTGCTACGGTCGTAGGGCAGGTGAGAAGCGACTGTCAACTCAAAATGATTAGAGCTCGGACTGGGGCCAAATTGCGGGTCCGAGCCTCAAAATAGGATCGTCAGGCGATCCCCTTTCAGATATGCTGAGGGTCTGATGGATTTGATGGGTTATGGCACCAGATACGCTGAGTTTGAGAACCCAAAGCAAGACTCTCCCTATCTGGTTTTGAGTTGGGGAAGCATTTGGTCCTCGTTAGGGGCCAGCAAACACATGTTGCCTCGGATTCTTTGTGCGCGGATTCCTCCAAGAGGAGAGGTGTCAGCTGTCCTTGCCACCTTCAAGGAGGGGCCTAGAGGACTGAAAGCGCTGCACCATACCACCCAACATGCAACCAACTGCCCTTTTCGGACCATTTTCCTCTTGAAAGGGACTGAAACGTGGGATTCCGGAAACTGAAACGTGGGAGGGCTTTGTTTGTCCTGTTGATCAGCCAGAACGGCCGTTGAGAAGCAAACCTGTTTTCGTTGCACTGTTGGGAGGGTAACTTGAGGGGCCAAGTAATTCCCAATTGATTCTTCCATGATGTGGCCTAAGCTTTTTTTTGCCCTTAATCTGCATTTCAATTGTTATCACTGTTGTAGCTAAGTAGTACACCACAAGCCTGTTTAAACTGTTCAAGCGGGTTCAAGCCCTTGTTGTACCTGCCTGCGGAGAGCGTTCTAGTCATGTTTGCTGGCGCAGGGAGACGCTTCACGTGGTGGTCACGCCTGCACTCATGCAGCTGGTGACGTCGCTTGGGTCGAAGGAGGCCCAAGTGGCTTTGGCTGTGGGTCAAAACTAATGGTACCATTTTGGGGTAGGTGCACCACCCATTTTACTTGATTTTAGTGGGGATTGGGATGTTCACTGGGGGTACGGGATTTTGACCCATGGCCCGCTGAAGACATGTTGCCATGTTGCAAAAAAGATGTTGTTGCCAGGGGCTGGTAGGGTCTTTCACGAACCCCTATATAATATAGGGACTTTGGCAGCGCCTTAACCATGGCTCTTGTGGGGTTGCCATGGCCCTGATGGACCTAGTGCTTCTTAGCAATGTGTCCGTTTGATCGGGGAAAATAATTGTAAACGCTTCGCGTTGCCCGCCTCGGCCCAGCCTAGCTTGAGGGAAGGGTCAGGAACACCGAAATCCAGTGTTGGGAAGGTCCGAATCCTACTGAAAGCTTGTGACCGCACCAGTTCGCCCGTGCTAGTTCGATGTTCGGAAGCCGTCCTGCTCGGAAGGTTTGAAATCCAAAACCAAGACTATCTCAGCTGCTCAGTGCCCTTGGAAAAAAAAGGACCTCTTTCTGGGGAGCATTTTTAGTGGGGCTTGGCCTCCATAAAAAGGGGAACAATAATTGGTGTCACTGAACAACCAAGACCAACTTTGGGTGTTTGGGCCCGCTGGTGGGCTGGGCTAGTGGCTGGCATACCCTGAGATGCGCCGGGGCCTGGGCTGGGCAGGATGACTTGGCCGTGCTTGGGCGGGTTGCTGGTTGAGGCTGGGCTGACAGGCCTGGCCAACAAGCGGGTTGCTTTGGGCTGACAATCTTGAAAATTGCTGAAAAGCATGACCTCCTGTGTCTGACGTGTCTAAAACTAGGCTCAGGCCCAGCCCAACCAGCAACCCGCCTGCTGGCCAGGCCTGTCAGCCCAGCCCACCCAGCCTCAGGCCCAAGCTTGTCTGAAACAGACCTTAGCCCAACCAGCAACCCGCCCAAGCACGGCCCCAAGTCATCCCAGCCCAGCCTGCCCAGCCCAGGCCCCGGCGCATCTCAGGGCACGAGCCACTAGGCCAGCCCCCAGCTCCCAGCCCGCCAGCAGGCTCAGCCCGCGTGCCAAGGTCAGGTTTGTTTGTGTCTGCGACTGGGCTCAGGCCAACGACCAGTCTCACTTGTCTGAGACTGGTCTCAAGCTATGCCAGCTACTAAGCCTGTCTGACGTGCCCCAGCCGCTCAGTCCGGCCCAAGCAGCTCAGCCCAGGCTGGCCATGACCTCCTGCTCGCGTCTGGCCCCAAGTCATCCAGCAAAGTATGCCAGCCTGAGACTAGCTCAGGCCCAGTCCTCAGCCCGCCTGCTGGCGTGTCTTACGTGTCTGCGACTGGCCTCAGGCCCAGTCCGGCCAGCAACTCGCCACCCAGCCTCAGGCCCAAGTGTGTATGAAACAGGCCTTGCCCATCCAGCAACCCGCCCGAGCACCGCTCGCCCAGCCGGCCCAGCCCAAGTTCCGCAACCAGCAGCGTAGTCCGGCTGCCCGGCAGCCAGCAGGCTCAGCCCAGCGTGCCAAGGTCAGGTTTGTCTCACGTGTCTGAGACTGGCCTCAGGCCAACGACCAGTCTCACTTGTCTGAGACTGGTCTCAAGCTATGCCAGCTACTAAGCCTGTCTGACGTGCCAGCCCCTCAGTGCGGCTGCCCAAGCAGCTCAGGCCAGGCTGGCCATGACCTCCTGCTCGCGTCTGGCCCCAAGTCATCCCAAAGTATGCCGCCCAGCCCAAGTTCCAGGCACAACCAGCAGCGTAGTCCGGCTGCCCGGCAGCCAGCGACCCACCCATGGCTTCGCAGCCTTGTGGCTGAGACTAGCAGGCCCCGGCGCATCTCAGCACATGCCCAGCTGCCAGCCCACCAGAAGGCTCAGCCCAGCGGTGCCAAGGTCAGGTTTGTCTAACGTGTCTGAGACCGGCCTCAGTCAACCAGTCTCATGTGTCTGAGACTGGTCTCAAGCTATGCCGGCTACTAAGCCTGTCTGACGTGCCCCAGCCCCTCAGTCCCGGCGTGTCTTACGTGTCTGCGACTGGCCTCAGGCCCAGCCCAGCCAGCAACTTGCCACCCAGCCTCAGGCCCAAGTGTGTACGAAACAGGCCCAAAATCCTGTCCTTGGTTCGTCGGCGTCGAAGTGTGCTGACAATTGCACAAAAATGGACCCAATGGAGCTGGACGCCGACGAACCCCCAGGTTGCCTCATTCAACAGCTCAGGTGGGGAGCGGTCGTAGCAAGAACTACAGGGATGGTTACCAGCCGATGTTGCACCATGACGACTGACTTGGGCACGTCTTCCGAGCTGCCGAATCTTTTCCTGAGGCAATTATTGGGAGTTACATTTTGGCTGCCCGACCTGCCCCTGAAGTGGTGTTTTTTACTTATTGAAGTGCCCCTGGCTGCATTTGTATATGTTTTTCCCCCTCGTGTTTTTTGTACATTTTGGATATCTGGTCTGCCCCTGAAGTGTCTTGCGCTTTTTTGGTGTTTTTGTGTTTGTGTTTGTTTCCTCGATTGCACATGCTGGACACCTGGTCTGCCCCTGAAGTGTCCCTGGCTGATTTTGTCATGCGCCGGTTTGATATCATACAAATATATATATATATATATATGTATATGTATATGTATGTTTTGAAGTGTGCGTTGTGTTCTCTGTCCGTCCCCGTTTTTCGTTTTGCGTGTTGTTCGTTTGTATTTATACATGTTTTGGCAGTTCAGCGTTTGCCCTTCTTTGGGGGCCAACATCTAAGGGCATCCACCGGGTGGAGCCTTCTCCATTGTTTGGATCTCAAAAGAGGCATCGCTTTGGCAACACGAAAGCAATCGGCGAGAATGGGGGTTGACTGGACTCTGTTTGGTATTGGACCGCAACACGCAAACCGAGCCCAACCATATCTTCCCGACCTGAAAACCGTTCGGTTTTCCACTCTTGGCAGGTATGGTTCGGTTAATCCAAGGCCACCGAAATTGAAGGACCGCCTTTAAATTCCGCCGGGTGCTGGACATCGAGTGAAGCTCCCAGAGGAGGCAACTCGGGGTGTCTAAGGCAGCTGCAGACCGAGCTGGCGGAAGCCCCTTCGGCGCTGGGCTCAGCTGGGCTCAGCTGGGACCAAACCCTTTTGGAGGCTCTCATAACTAAGAAGCTCGGGGTGGTGTCTTCCATTTTCTTAAGAATATTGTTTATTTTTCCCTGTTGGCTTTAAAGGGAATCTATCACTACGGTTTTTTTTCTTCCAGGGGTCTTAACGAAATGGGAGGTTTTGGGGCTTGCCGAAGTCGTACTGGCGACTTTGATCCGGGTAAAACCATGGGAGTCTAGGAGGAAACAAGACACGCCGATGCGGGGCCAAGTGCTACACGAAGCTGTGCGAAGGACGTAATTATGAAAAACACAGCCGGCCATGTGCAAGTTCATGCCTATAGTGCCCCGGTGAGAAGCTCCTTGCCAGCCAGATTGAGGTAATTGTAAACGCTTCGCGTTGCCCGCCTCGGCCCAGCCTAGTTTGAGGGAAGGGTCAGGAACACCGAAATCCAGTGTTGGGAAGGTCCGAATACCTGAAGCTGGCTCCAGACAAGTCAGACAAGCCGGCCTCGCCTGGTGGGGCTGGGCCACAGGCCAGTCTCAGACACAGATAAGCCTGCGCTGGGCCTGAAGCTAGTCCGGACCTTGCTTGCGTGGGTTGTTGGTTGAGCGGCTGGGCAGGCGCACTGAGGGGGCTGGGCTATGGCTGGGCTGGGCCTGAGGCCAGTTTCAGACAGGCCTGGCCAGCAGGCGGACTGGGCTGGGCTAGACGCCAGTTGAGCCCAGGCTGGTGAGGCCCAGTCTTGGCGCTAGATGGGCTGAGGCCTGCGAGTCTCAAACAGGGTGGGCTTGGGTGGGGTTGGCTTAGGCGGGTTGCTGGACGAGGCTAAGCCATGGGGTGGGTTGCTGGCTGGGCAGCCGGACGACGCGTTGCGCCTGGAACTTCGGCTGGGCGGGCTGGGCTGAGCTGTGCCTGGGCGGGTTGCTGGATGGGCTGAGGCTGGGTAGCAGGCCTGAGGCCAGTCGCAGACACGTAAGACACGCCAGCAGGCGGGCTGAGGGTGAGGCTGCGCCGAAGGGCCTGGCCTGGGCTGCTTGGTAACTGGCATAGCTTGAGACCAGTCTCAGATACGTGAGACTGGTCGTTGGCCTGAGGCCAGTCTCAGACACGTGAGACAAACGTGACCTTGGCACGCTGGGCTGAGCCGGGAGCTGGGGGCCGGTAGTGGCTGGCATGCCCTGAGATGCGCCGGGGCTGGGCAGGCTTTGGGCTGGGCCTGTCGCTAGTCTCAGCCACGAGGCTGCGAAGCCATGGGTGGGCTGCTGGGCGAGCTGTGCTCGCGCGGGTTGCTGGATGGGCAAGGCCTGTTTCATACACACTTGGGCCTGAGGCTGGGTGGCGAGTTGCTGGCTGGGCTGGGCCTGAGGCCAGTCGCAGACACATAAGACACGCCAGCAGGCGGGCTGAGGGATTGGGCCTGAGGCTCGTCTCAGGCTGGCATACTTTGAGACCAGTCTCACACTGCGCCGAAGCGGCTGGGCCTGTTGGGCTGAGTTGCTTGGGCAGCCGGACTGAGTCTCAGACACCCGGCCTAGTGGCTGGCATGCGCGCTTGGGCTAGGCCTGTTTCAGACAAGCTTGGGCCTGAGGCTGGGTGGGCTGGGCTGACAGGCCTGGCCAGCAGGCGGGTTGCTGGTTGACAGGCCTGGCCACCAGGAGGTCATGCTTTTCAGGACAAAAAAGCATTTGCAATTCAAAAATGGACCCATGGAGCTGGACGCCGACGAACCCCGAAAATTTCAAGGCCCGCCGGACAGGATTTTGGGCCAGCCGACATGGGTGGGGGGGGGGGGGGGCGGGCCGGCAAAATTTTGCTTTTTGGAGAAGAGATCTGAGCGCCCTTGGCCCCTTTGGGGCCGAGGCGAATTTCCGGCTTCCCTGAAGCTGTCTCTCTGCTTTGGCGTTTGTTTCTTGGAATCGGAGGGTTTTGCAGCACCGAGATGGAGTCACACACATGGAAACAAACCCAAGGAGGCAGAAGCCATCAGCTCTGACGAGCAGCATCACATCATCAGCTCACGATCCTGTGGATTGCAACCTTTGGTAGCTAAGGTGGGGCTGTAAATTGAACCTGATCAAAAGCTACATCCTAGTTGTTTCTCCCCCAACAAATGGGCCCAGGCCTCACTTGCAACCAAAGCCAGTTGACCGTGAGCCCTGGTTGTCTCCAGATGGAACCACACGCACGTGTGGTGTTCCTTACCAGCCTTGAATCGGTCACAATAAAACATGCACATTTGTTGACATTGATTATCCCAAGAACTGCAACTCAGGGGTGGTTGAGTTCCTAGGAAAACTCGGTTCAACTCTTTCCTGCAGAAACCAAACCCGGACCCTTTCTGAGCACACAGTCATCATGACTTCCATCGATGGATGTCCTTGCCAAGCTTTAAGGTCTCCTGCCTCCCACTCACACATCACATGCTCAGGTCTACACCCCGCGACTCAGCTGCATTTGGTTGACCGGAGCGTGACCTGGTGTGTCACAGATCACGGAAGGTTCCTTTCTTGGGCCACTCGTTTGTCTCAAAGGGGTACCAACCCCAAGAATTGGGTGGAATTTCTTTGGGTTTCCCTTCTTTCCCCCAAAGATCTCAAGGAACCACGACCATTAAGGGAGATATTGAGTGGTATCCTGCAACTCAGCCCCAAGCAGATCCCAAAAAGAAACTCAGCTGGGCACATGGAAAAATCTGCAAACCATTTTGAAAGCGAAGCTTGCAAGCCAATCCATGGACACCAACCCATTCAAAGGCAACCTACTGAAGGGACTCCAACCCAAAAGGCTCTCTGCCATCGATCGAGGCTCCTCACAGGGCTGAACTTGACGGAGGAGTTGGTGGAGGTGGCCGTGGGCGTGGAGTGGACCCCCCTGGCCAGCGGCGCGGAGGCGCCAGCGGTGTCCGGATCGAGAGCTCGGCAAGGGGTTCGAAGGGGTTCGAAGGGGAAACCGAAGAGCTTAGGAACCAAAGGCTCTGGTTGTTCTCTGGCCTTTGAATAACCTGAGTGGGGCCACGTTCAGTGGAAGGCTGTGTCAGTTTCAGTGGTTGTGCTCCGTGTCGACACGAATCAAGGTATAGTCGGATGGCAAATAAAACTAGAATAACCCTTGCCAGCTTGAGAAACATGTACCGTTATTCCCTCATTCCTTTGGGGCCACAGGTCGGTGTGGGTAAAGGACGCATATCGGCTACAAATTGCCTCTTTCCCATCGGTTCTCCTCCGATGCCCTTAAGGCCCTAACTTGTGAGTGTCTCGGCTTGAATCCCAGGATGCCTAAGAACCAGCAGGGTTCGTTTGGACGACCATTGCCATCGTCTTCGTTGGTTTTAGAAACCAACGGTCAACGTTGCCCATGGCATTTCCTAAGAAGTTTGGAGCAAGAGCCTTGGGACTGCAAGAGGAACGGCAGATGAAGGCTATTTTGTGGGGGGCACTCCCAAGCAGAAATAGATCGACATGTCCACTCTTCGATTCTTTTGGATGTCCGGTTTACCCGGTTTACCCGCTTGATACCAGATTCTGATAATAACTAACCTACGACTCCAGGCCAGAAAACTACTTGCTTTTTGATTGGCTAACTTATGATGTGTGTCCTGATCGAGTAACTTGCTCACGACCTCCCCAACTTGGAAGCTCAGCGGTTTGAACAAGTTACACACATGTCATGTCAGACTGTTTGAACGTAGCATCATTTGGCTGTCGCGATTGCCCTTGGCCAGTGGGCCCTGGCAACGTTTTAGAGCCATTTGGGTGGTATGCATTTATTTGAACAGCCACACACGAAGACAAAGCTGTCTTACTTGGTAGGGAAATTTGAAATTTGTTGGACCCCTCAGGGACTGCAAACCACCAGGGCGCCATGACCTCAAATGTCCCGCATTGGGAGTTTTGGCCACGGCACGCCGAATCTAGGGGTTGGTGGTATTGTACAGGGAAACCAACAGGAACGCCGAAGCCCTCTTTCATTAAATTGAATAAGGAGCCCTCATTATTTCAATTCAATCAAACAGTCAATCTAGTGAAGATTCAAATGCAAAGAACTGATTTTACAACGCACATATATGATATAATATGATTCAAATATTGATGACATGTTGGTCCAATCTCGACAAACGTCTCCAAGTGCGGCAAGTGAGACTTAGGTGAACTTGGAGGACGGCATGGACTTTGGCCATTTGGAAATCCGCGCAGACCAGGCGCAGCTGAGGCCAGATGTCGGGGTCTGCGTGGTCCAAGTGGTCGAAGCTTTTCGGAAACACCTGGAGCTGAAAAGTGCCGCTGAGCAGCTGGCGTACCCTGTTTAAGCACGTGACGCACATCCGGAAAAAAGCTGCCCCGTTCGGAGTTTCCATCCGTTTTAAGCCGGCTGATGCTAGCCACCGGCATTTGGACAGCGCCAAGTTTCCAAGCTGCCCCAAATGTTGTATGTACGTTCTCTATGAACTCTCTCCAACCCACTATTCTCATGTGATTTGGTGGGTTCCCCACTGGACATGGTTAGTCAACCCAAACAGCATGCTCTTGTTCCGCCCAAGCCAAGGACCAGCAAGTGGTGTGCTTGCGAGTCCCCCACTTGCCCAGTGCCGCCCGTTTTTATGTATGTCTGGGAAGGGTGTCCCTTTGAACTCAACCAACGAAAAAAGGATGCCCTCTTTTTGCCCAGGGCCACTGGGCATTTGAGGTCCTTTTTAGGGAAACGCTTGCTTCACTTGGTCATGCCACTTGATTGAGCTTCATGTGACTTTGATCTTCACGTGCTAGACATGTCGTGTGTATAGTCTACATGGAGCGGTTTGCAAGGAACGTCAAAGGAGACGAAGGGAAGCTGCAAAGGGGTTCGGTTTCCCACGGGTTTGCTTTACGCTTGCTGATGTTGGAGGAGCCCCCCTTGGCAACGTCTTCCCAAGAGCAGGGGGGCACTGTCTCAGCAAGCAATTGGGTCTGATTTTTGAGGAGCCCTTCTTTTGGCAGCAAAGGAAAGCCAAGAGGAATGCCGAAACGCGCCATTTTGCGTGGTCCAGCCCGTAAACAAACAGAAAGGGACGCTATGTGGGACCCCATTTTTGCAGTGCTTTTGGGAAACGCAGTAGTTTCTGACAAGTGATGCAAACCCTCCAGAATCCACGGAAAAAGGACGCGCCGAGTTAAAGACAAGAGCTCCGATGTTCGTCCCTTCCGACGCCAGGCTTCCTTTGGTCCCCGGCCCTGCGAGACCCTTCGCCGAAAACATGCTGGTTCAGGTGATGTCCTGCCCGGCAGCCTGGAGTTTTCGTTTGTGGGCATTCGAAGGGCTCGCTTCCAATTGCTGAAACGAACACTGATCTGTTTCCTTCTGTTTGTTTTCCCCCTTTTTTTCCGGGGAATCTATCGCCGGTGCTCCAACATATTCGGTGGCTGCTGCTGACCTCTGTCGCCTGCCGATGTGTTGCAATGGCTGGAGGAATCCGACTTGCCAGCCCGCCGGCATTTGTGAGAGAAGGACGCTTTCGGCAATGCTCACCGCTGGAAATATTGTATTAACCAGGCTCCCGCCTGCTGCCGCCGACCCTCGGCGCATTAAGGGAAAAGTCACAAGGACCGGTCCTGAAACACGTCCGCAAACCCAGGGACCACTTATAAGATCCTCTACGACCACAAACAAGGATTAACGGAAAAGTCAGAAATAGGGCAGCTAGTCCGTTAATTACCGCTTGGGCCGGCTTGCGCCCAAGTCACTTCGAGTTGGCCCGGGAGCAGTCGCCTCTCCCGGGGTCGCCCTGAAACTGGCCCTCCCGAAGTTGACCACAAACAAGGATTAACGGAAAAGTCAGAAATAGGGCAGCTAGTCCGTTAATTACCGCTTGGGCCGGCTTGCGCCCAAGTCACTTCGAGTTGGCCGGGAGCAGTCGCCTCTCCCGGGGTCGCCCTGAAACTGGCCCTCCCGAAGTTGCCCTGGACCGGTCGCCGGCAGGGACCGGGACTTGGGACCCTGTCCAGGCTGGTCGTGAACGAACTAGGCGTTCACCCATGTTTTGGAGCATGCTGAAAGCTTCCCCGCTCACTAGCAACAGTTGGTCAAACACCAACCCAGCTAGCATATTTGTAGTTTGTCTGTGCTGGCGTTGATTCCAGAGCAGTCCGTTGCTTTGCGACATACCAGGGTTGGGGTCGCTTTGGACGTCGGTCGTTCTTTGGGAACGGCTGGCTCTGGGGTCATGATTCCAACTGTTTATTTTTTTTGGGGGGGGGTGTTACAACTGGCTAACTTGTCGCTTTGTGTTGGACCTTTCCGGGTGCTTGTCGTTGACGGCGGGCACTTCCCTTTTGGGAACCCTCCCTGCTAAGAGATCGAGCCGGGCACTTCTCCCTGAATCTTTGCTCTTGAAGCAGTAGGTTGCTTTTGGAACCGTCTGATTTTCAATCAGCTGTTGCCATTGATAGAAAAAGCAATGGTGGCCGTTTGGCTAAGGTACAAAGGACTTTCTTCATCGCACAAGTTGGCAAAGAAATTGGGTGGAATTTCCAGGGGGCTCAGTTTCTTTGCAGTTGCAACCTACGTGATTTGGCAAACTCAGTTACAATGATTTGGTATACACTGCTTGCGCTGCAACTCCCTCCAGAAATTCCTGCCTACAGAGAAGCACCCACACGCCAAAACACACACGCACACACACACACACACGACACAGACACAGACACAGACACAGACACAGACACAGACACAGACACAGACACAGACACAGACACAGACACAGACACAGACACAGACACAGACACAGACACAGACACAGACACAGACACAGACACAGACACAGACACAGACACAGACAGACACAGACACAGACACAGACACAGACACAGACACAGACACAGACACAGACACAGACACAGACACAGACACAGACACAGACACAGACACAGACACAGACACAGACACAGACACAGACACAGACACAGACACAGACACAGACACAGACACAGACACAGACACAGACACAGACACAGACACAGACACAGACACAGACACAGACACAGACACAGACACAGACACAGACACAGACACAGACACAGACACAGACACAGACACAGACACAGACACAGACACAGACACAGACACAGACACAGACACAGACACAGACACAGACACAGACACAGACACAGACACAGACACAGACACAGACACAGACACAGACACAGACACAGACACAGACACAGACACAGACACAGACACAGACACAGACACAGACACAGACACAGACACAGACACAGACACAGACACAGACACAGACACACACACACACACACACACACACACACACACACACACACACACACACACACACACACACACACACACACACACACCACACACCCCACACCACACACCACACACCACACACCACACACCACACACCACACACCACACACCACACACCACACACACACACACACACACACCACACACCACACACCACACACCACACACCACACACCACACACCACACACCACACACCACACACCACACACCACACACACACACACACACACACCACACACACACACACACACACACACACACACACACCACACACCACACACACCACACACACCACACACACCACACACACCACACACACCACACACACCACACACACCACACACACCACACACACCACACACACCACACCACACACACACACACACACACACACGCACAACACACCACACACACACACACACAACACACACACACACACACAACACACACACACACACACACACAACACAACACAACACAACACAACACAACACAACACAACACAACACACACAACACACACAACACACACAACACACACACACACACACACACACACACACACAACACACACAACAACACAACACACACAACAAACAACACACACAACACACACACACAACACACACACACACACCACTGAACACAAACACAGAAGCAAACAACACAAGCAAACAACCAAACACAACACAACCACACACACACAGAGGCCAACACAACAGCACACTCCAGTGCGCGCAACGCGCAAGAGGCAGCGGTGCCGGCACGGGGCAGCGCCTGGTGATTACCTCCAGGCAGGGGCTTGGATCAAAATTGGGCGACCCTCCAGGTGGGTGTCCTTGTCCTTTTCTTGGCCCCCGAAGGCCATGCGGTTCCTCAGCTTTGCAGGTGTTTTTTTGGATTTGTTTGGTATTTGTGTGGGACATTTTCCATTTTACTCACTAAAAGTTAGTCACTTTTAGGGGGATCTGAGGAGAGGCAGCTTTAAAACCATCCAAAAAGGGGTCCCGTATTTTGAGACACACCGTCTGAAAACAGGGACTTCTCCATCTAAAAGCACTCCGAACAGGGCACTGCTCAAACAGGGAAGGAAATCCAAAAAAAAAACAGGCGCAGCTTTCGGTTGGAGAAGAGGAAAAACGGGCTGCTTCTTATTCACCAGTTGAAGTAGAGAGAAAGCACCTCGACTCTGCTTACGTTTCTAGGAGTCGTATCTCTTGACTGCATCGAATTCACTCGAATTGCTTACTCAGATTGCCTCCACAGTACTCGAATGTCTCCCTCGGGAGTCCAAGTGTTGGACTCAGCATAAGGCCTTTGTGGCGCTCGAAGAATCGGAGGCTGTGCTTGGTGAACCTTACGGACCTGGCCCTGGAATGGCGCCTGCCCGGGCTCTCAGAGATCAGGTTGTAGGGCCCTGGTGTGGTGTGGGGTTGCATTTTTTTGGGGAGGCTTTGCCTGGACTGAAAGGGAAACCAAGAGGAACACCGAAGCCAGTTTGTGGGGAGTCCCCTATTTTGGGACGCCATGTCTGAAAGGGTTCCGAAATGACGCTGTCCTTCCGGCCACCAAGGTACCAACTCCAAAAAGCACACCCAAAGTTGGCCCTAAGTGGCCAAGAAGAAAGAGGGCCCCATGGGTATTGCGGAATGGGCCCCTTTTGGGGTTACAACCGTCCGTTGGAACGGACCCGGGGTTGCGGGGGAGGTGCTTGGTTTGCGCCTTCATTTCTCACATTTCAGGCCCCTCTTGGGGATTGCAAGAGAGTTACCCCGCCCCCCCAAACAGCCATACCTTACCTGATCCATGTGATCTTTGCTACCCTGAGTTTGAAGAGCTCGAACTGTGCGACTTACACTCAAATCAGGTTTTGTCAAATGACTTTGGGCAATATGTCTCGTCAAGTCCGCGGAAATTGGCATGTCTGAAAATCAGGGCATTGCTGTGGCAGCGGTTTGACAGGGAAATGCATCAGCACTCAGACAGAGTCGCCCACATGGCGTATATTTCCCAAGGCTCGAAAAAGTGAATTGCATCAGCGAAACAATGCAGGAATGTGAAAAAGAAGTTGGGTAGTTCCTCTATTTGTCCTGTTGGCAACCTCCGCTTGTGGAGAATTATTCAAAGGAACCTGGAGATTCCGCATTCAAGCGCAAACGACCGCTATTTGACACAAACAGCTTGCGCAAATCCATTGCGGCGATTAAAATGCCAGAGAATTGGAACATGTGTGTATTGACGAGGAATCTCCAGGCACTGTTTTACCTTGTTGTGTTGTCCGCTGAAGCATAATGTGTGCGCACACTTAGCCTCCCATGAACAATATGGAAGTGCGTAGTTTCACTAGGTTATTCAAGGAAAGCATGGTGCTTCTATGACTGTTTGGTTGCCAATGTTTGTAAGGTTGTCCTTCGCTATGGAGTTAGGTTGGGATGGTCGGAACCAGATTGATTCAATGATCCCTGAAACAGATTGATTTACACAAGGGCCCCTGAAACAAATTCATGGTGTTTCACTGACAAGAATTACCCTCCTGTCTGCCACTAAAGTCGACTTGAGCTCGGCTTTGTACGGATTAAAGTGCACAACAGCGAGTGCCTGTTCATTCTAGGCTTGTCAGAACTAGGGATCCAGAAAGAAGGCTTCCTTTCGGTGTGTCTTAAAGCCAACGACAGAGGTGCTCCCAAATCCAATGTCCGCCACACGTTCCCGCCACCACGTCCGGTCCCAAAAGTCCGCTCTCCTTGGGTTCCTCGCTCATGTGAGGTCCGGCACAGAGGGCTCAGCGCCTTGCCCAGCAAGTCCTGCGAGTCGATCGGGGGATCGGGGGACGTCGAGGTGCTTTTCTGCGGAGCAAGCGGTCGGGAAGTTGGAATTCCTGTCATGTTCGGCAAGTAGCGAGGGTTCAGTTCTGTGTACCCCCTTCAAACATGGAAATACCCCTATGTTGGGTTGATGACCCCAGTTTTTTGGGTCAGAAGGAGACTCCTGGAAGTGTTGCTTGATGGGAGGATCATTCAGGGAATCCACCGCAGGGGCACCTTTTAGTAGTCTCCGGATGCGGCGAATTTCAGGTGCCAGATGGCTTGTTTGTCCGGTTGGTTTTTCCTTTGAGCAACAACGCAGGGATGGGGGTCACTTGTAGCTTCCAGCTCAAGGCATCTGTTCCCTTGTTGGTTTTTGAGAGAAATGCAAATGACTGAGGAAAGTTGTCTTTGCCTGAAGCTGTAGCATAGTGCAAGTAAACCAGCCAAATACAACTACCCGCAGGGAGAACACTGGGTATGACCACTATGCAACCAGTACATAAATAAGTAGTTGGCGAGTAGGACTCCAGGACACCCTAGATGGGGTTGCTTCATGTATCTGTGAATCGACCAACAAGTTTCGATGCGAGGAACACATGCCGGCATTGATGCATGCTGTGGACGAATCCGTTCGCACCACTTTGAAGCCATGGTTGAAACATGTTGACCACAGTGTTGATGCGCCCCTGGTGGAGTCGTAGAGAAAGTGCGTTCAAGACATTGGGTGTCAGGCCGCATGTGTGACAAGGGAGAGCTAAGGGGCGAGGGCTGCCAAAGCGTTTAGTCTCACATCTTTTGCCTGAGTCCTCTTGGCGTCATGCTCCCGGATCACTGGCAGGTCCTTACACCAGTGATCTGCCTTGCAAGGCGGCACACGCTTCACTGTTTTTGGCCGTTGGTTTAGTTTGTTGCTTCCGAATCTTTTGAGTACGGGGAGGCAACGCAGAAGGTTGCTTGCTAACATGCCTGCGTTTTTCTCTTGCGTTCAGGCAAGCAAGGCTTGAAGGCAGGGCCTCGTAATCTAAGGCTTCAAATGGACCCATGCTTCTACACTCGGGTGTTTGGGGGCCACCAACACCCATGAAGATGTTACGATCTGCCGAGTCTACATCTCCACTTGTTGCCTTCGGCACTCAAGCATACATTGGGGTTGATCAAGACTTCAAAAGGTCCTTAGCATAGGATGAGGGAAACCACCAACAAGGATGGCTTTCACCGCTAAATGGGAAAGTGACCCATGGTCATTTTGGGGCCAAGGGGTCGACCCCCTGGAATGGACCCTCAAAAGAGGCCTTTTTTTTTCATGGGTCCCTTCCCCTCCTCTTGGTCACATGCTTCTTAATGCAAATCAGAGGAAAGGATGTTGTGAAACTCCTTGTGCGCGTGCTTTTGTTGCCCACGAGTTTTACCCAGGAAGCAAAAGGGGGGGGATTAAGATTTTTGTCCAGACCCTCCGGTGTTATATTGTTCATTTGTTTTTTCCAGACGTCCCCTTTGGAGCTCCGAGCGCTTTTCAAGCAAGTCCTTTCAAACCAGCGAAGCTCAAGGTTTTGGGTAGTTCGCCTTGAAATCTAATCCCAAGTTGTTTGGTGGAATAAACCAGTGGGTTTGGGGACATTTGGAGTTGAAATCAACAGTCCCAGGTGTTTGTTGCCGGGTATGCGGCCAGTGTCCTCTGAAATTCCCTCGGTCGGTCATTCGGTTTCGCTCAGGTGATGCTCGGCATGGCCGGAAGCCCGGAAAGGCTTTGGAGGAGCGGAGTCGTGGTGCCCTTTGGGTTGTGCGCGCCAATCTTTGCAATGATCGTGGTGCACAAGGTTCCGGAACGCATGCCTGCCGAAGGTCGAGTTTTTGGGCTTGGCATGGGAGGTGCGTTCTGATTTATCCGCATTCGGGGGCGAAGCAGTTTTTTAAACCGGGAGACTCTACGAAGCCAAACCTGGAACCCCCGAAAAAGACAGCAGTTTCAGATAATTGTGTTTTGTGCCCCTTGAAAATTCAAGGGTACCCCAAACGGGTTCTGACAAACGGGTTCCAGGTGGCACCAAAGAACAATCATGTGTGAAGCATCCAAAAGGAATACATGTGTTAGAACCCATCAAACAGGTAACCCAACATGCATTCAGCTTATAAGCGACCACCATAAATCCGTAGGTTGTCATGTTACCTGCCATGTTCGTAGACTAGCAATCAACCAGCCATTTTTGTACGGAGTCACAACCCGATACAAAAACCCTAAAAACTCATACAGCACCCCTTTCTCCCCCCCCCCCCCCCCCCGAACTGCTGAACAACCTCACAACGTTAACCTTCTCTGCCAGCAATTGCCCTCCCCAACCAATCGCCGGAGGGATGGAAGATCCATTTCCTGGCCCCAGTTTTGTCTGCCAAAAATTAACTCCAACCAACCCCCACCCTTCCACAGGCCCGGGGGGGTGGATGACGGGTGTAGTAGCCATGGCCGTGGCCGTGGGGCAACCAAAGGGAACCTGGAAGATCCACCCGAATGGCCATGGCCCGTGGGAGAGGACTGGCAGATCCATTTCCTGGCCCCAAACGTCTGCCGTGGCCTGTGTCGAGGGTAGGTTTGCCCGAGCCCAGGCTCCACCTCCAGCGGACTGCGCAGTGCTCGAGGCCGCCGCCGAGCGCCTCGAGGGACCGGCACCGGCGCCGGCGCCGTCGAGCCTGGGCCTCGGGGCCCCCGTTTTGGGCAGCACGGGGTTGGGGGGGTCGACGGTCCGTCCCTTTAAAGAAGGAGCATGGTTTATGTGGGCGTTGTTGGTTTATTTGTTTTGTTTGGGGATGTTTTGCTTTTGCTGCTTGGTCGTTTTGCAGTTTTCAGATTTGAAGATAGGGGAGCGTTGCAAGCAGGAATTGGAAGCTGGCAGCAAGCCCACGGGCATTACTTAAATGGTTCCCACGTGTTGGGCTACCCGTGCGGTCAGGTGTCCTTCTCGAAAGGAAGCTCTCTCTGTTTCCGCCCAACCCATTCCGCGGCAGAGATGGAAACAAGGCAACGTGAAAGGGGAAATGTGTCCGTTTGTTGAAGATCATTCCTGCAAAGGCACCGTCTTTCTGAAAACCCATCAAGGCAGATGCGTATGGTCCCCGCGGCTGTTTTTTGAGTTTGTCTAGCTTCCACAACAGCAAACTAAGAGGCCCTAGATGGGCAGAGTGGCGTTTGTTATTTTCCCAGAACTTTTATTTGACACCAGGTCCAACTCCTTCAACAATTACGACACGTTGCAACACGGGAATCCAGCGACCCGTTGTGGGGCCTGCGATTTGGATATACACGGCGTTGTGAATTTGGATAGTAACCAACACACGGGACTTCTGAAACGCAGAACGCGTTAGCAAGTTTATAACCCAATATACAACCAATATGCACACGCGAGAACACGCCGCTCGTGGTTGTTTCACGGGAACAAGCTACAGGAGCATCTGCACAGAACATTGCCCGCTTCAGGTCAGCTTCCCAGGCTGTCTCTGCAGCCCAGGCGCGAGAATTGGAAGTTCTGTGGCAACCAGTGAACATCCTCATGAAAGGCCTTTCCACAAGGGGCCTCAAATTGAATTGGCTCTCCTTCCCTGGGCAAACATGTTGGTCGCGGCCAGACGAACACGGAAAATCCGTTCGGACTTGGACAAGTGCCCTCATCAGAGCAAATCCATCTAAGATTGCGTGTTTCCCGTCGCAAAATTTGTTTATCTCACATAAAGAAGCCCTAAACAGCGAACCATGAGAGTGAGACGACCAACTCTTCGCTGGTGCCCGTAGGTGCAAAACAACATTCAGTGGTACCAGTACCAACTGCAAAGCGACACCCATATGAACGAGTTTGGGACCTCGGCCCAATCATCGATCATATAGGTTTGATAGGTGAGCAGGCCCCCCCCCCCCCCTCAAAAAAAAAAAAAAAAACGAAAATCGGCATCAAGAACTGGACACACCCGCAAAATGAACTAGTTTGAGGAACTCTTTACACTTCCCCTCCTGTGTGTGGTTTTAACATCATCATTTGGGCCAACGCTCATTGACCCTCTCAAAATGAAGAGCGATAAACCAGATCTTATCAAAAAATGGTCACTGACATGGGCCCAAATCAGAAAGAGGCTGCAAGAAGGAAATCTGGTGCTTCCCCAAATAGGGGTTCCCGCCGAAATGATCAGTTGCCCTTTGGCTTCCCAGTAAGTACCAACCAGAAGAGAAGGGAATCCAAAGAAGAAATGTTCATGGGACTTCCGAACATCTTTCCACAGGCAGGTGGTGTCGCTACCTGTGGGCTCGCAGAACAGCGGAGCGCCGCTCGGGCCGCAATTCCAGCGCGTATGAAGCTCAGAGGTGCGTTTTGGCACCTCACTTTCGGCGAGACGCCCTGTCGCCCTGTCAATCCGTGCAGCTTCGGTGATTTGTTTTTGCTTCGTGGGGGCTGGAATCGAACTGTAAGAATCGAGGCGTTGAGCACCACGATTTGAACCAAACATGACAGGCACGGATAGGGATGAAGGCATTGTGCAAACCAAACATGACTGGGAGCAATACAAAGATGTGAATGTCATTGCAATCTAAGGCCAAAACTGTTTGATTCCTCTATTTTGACACATACCCATGTATGAACCACCTGCCGTGGGCATACCCCCTGTTGCCCAGTGGTGCCCTTTTCCTTTGTTTGGGGAAAGGTGCCCCTTTAAAGTCAACCAACAAAAACGGGTGCCCTTTTCTTTAGGTTCCCATGGCCACCGGGCATCTGAGTACCGACTGATGCCCTTTCAACACGATGCCAATAATCTTCAGCCAGATCCTCTTGGGAGTGTAGGGATGGCGTATTGCCTGCATTGCTGCGATGGTTTCGTACGATGAGAAGGTGCTGCGACGTTTTTGTCTTTCTCGTCCTAAGCAGATATGCAGTGCCAATGATGCTTGGCTCGCAGTGGGCGAGCGTCTGCGCGGGGGACTGGAGAACTTTTGTCAAATTACTTCTGGTGGACCAAATCCATTTCGCACCGCTTGGAACCAGGGGAAACCATTGTTTGTTGCTATTTACAAGGGAATCATTATTTATAGAAGATTTGATGCCGATGCAATGTGATTATGATGGAGTTGTTGTGGTCTGGTACTGCTGTTCCTGTCATAAGTATCGTTATGATCGCATGACATTGGAGTTGCTACCGTGCCGTGGTTCGATAGGAATGAACGTGAGTTACGTTGTACGTACTCATGCATAATACTAAATATGTGGCTTGATAAGGAAATGAGGTACTTGTCCTTCAATGTTGTGTATGCTGATTACGTTGCCCCCTTGTGGCTTAATGTGTTCGAGGGATTGGCATGGGCAAAGGCTATGTACAGGGTCTGAAGGTGGTTTGTGCACTCACACACCTATAAATATGCAAGCACATCCATGAAGCGATGCACACATCCCGGCCGAAGCGGCACTGAGCCACTCCCTGATCGAGCAACAATTAGCAGGAATCGATGTGCTGGCGCATATGCTGTGCAGCTTCCTCCATAAAGTGGTTTCTCGGCTTTGCTTTTGTGCCTTTTTGGGGCTGTTTTTTTTGTTTTAATAAAGGAACCCAAAATGACAACCGAAACCATTTTGGAGAAATCCCCTAAAGAAACGAAAAAGAGACGAACCCATTTGGCTTCTCCCTGAGGCCGCTTGCGGTGCTTCAGCTGAGACCCACAGGCCGAGCAAATCCGGACCATGCGACCAAAGCCTATTGGAGCCAAGTTGTGCGGTTTGTTTTGGATTTGGCAGGTGGTGCTTGTTGTGGTGAGTGACAATATGTTTGTTGTGGTGGTGAGCTTGTTGTCTTGTTTTGGTGTTATTGATATGTCATTGTATTGTTATTGAAGTTATTGTTTGTTGGTGATTGCGATGTTGCTTGACATTATTCATGTTATTGATGTTATCGGGGCTGTTTCGATGACGATGCGGCTCGGTACTGCACGATACCACTCGACTTTATTGATATGTATTTCTTTGAATGTCCAGTATACGTGCGATAGAGCAACTTAGTATTGAGTAATATCTCAAAAAAGAAAATAATTATTGTTTGTTTTGTTTCTGCTTGTTATTGTTTGATTATTGTCGCGTGAGTAAACTCATGTGAGTTACCATGCGATCGGTTTTGCTTGTTGTTGTTTGCTAGGTTGTTAGTCGTGTTGAACTCGGGATGTTGTCGTGTTTTTTTTTTGTTTGGGTGGGGGTAGGGGGGATGGGGGCTATTGTTTGGATCTTTGCTTTGGTCGCTCCATCCTTCCCCACTGCCTCGGTAGGCATGGAGGAGGAGTTCGACTGGTGCGAGCCCGTGCCAGTGCGAAGCCGTGACGCGGCCGCAGCTTTTTTGGATTCGTTCGGGCGTGGCTGGAGAGATCCGTAGAAGGTTGTTGAGGTCTGCTGGCATCAGGTTGGTTGCTATTTTATGGAACCTGCAAAGCGGTTTATCTCCATTCCTTCAAAGTTGAGTTGTGGCAACATCAGATGTTTTCCCCAAGTCGAGCCTGCAAAGGTGCACGCGTTTGCAGGGGGAAGACCCAGTCGGAAACATTCAGTCACTAGGAAAGTCAAGGATAGGGAAAGACGGTAGTCAAAGACCATGGCCATGGGTGATGATGTAGGACTATCCAAGGTGCGAAGTTACCTCTAGACCCCAGTTCTTGCTTGTGCGTTTTCCCAACTTTCGCCGAAGATCGCTTGGTCAGGGCAACTAGACCCCAGGTGCCCTTTGCCAATGGCAGCTTCGGACATCGGTAGATGGCATTTACTCGGCAGCGTCACTCCCGGATCTAAGTAGAACCCCTGGTTGAACAATGGGGTGTGTGCCCTTTTTAGTGGGGATTCAATCCACTCTTGGAGGGAAACCCCCCCCCTATTTATTGGACGGGTGTCTTATGGTGTCTTAGTCCGGCGCCAACATTACCAAGGGAAACAACACCTGGATGATGCAGCTTTAAACTGGGTTCATGTCTAGACAGAGTTGGTCTCTTGAACATCGCTCGGATTCTCGCATCTTGACGTATAGAGCGTGCAGCCCTGCATTGCCTGCATTGCGGCACTTGTATTTGTTGCACGCCATCCCTACCCTCTCGAAAATGGAATATGAGGTTGGGGGAGGGGGTGGCGGAGGTAGGCTTTGGAATTTGTCCCTTCCATTTTTCTCCAACTTGGGGGGTCTGGCGTGGAATCCCGTAAAAGGAAGCTCACTCGGTGATGTTTGCAACCACACGGGGAACTACAGGCGCTGTCCGTGTCCAGGGAGGTTGACCTATGGGAGTTGGAACCATGTGAATGTCCTAACATATCCCCCCAGTTCATGAATTTTCACCCGAGGTCCCCGACAACGCATGCCCATTTTGGGAATCAGCCGTGGTTGCGATTTCAATTTCGCCCAGGCGGCCACGACCAGACGGCGACTCGGCCAAGCAGGGGCTTAGCTGACTGGGTGTTGCTCATTGCCTCAGGACCCAGTTGCCCAGTGCCGCCGTGTTTCTCCCACGGCCACTAGAAGAAGCTCCTTTTCCCAAATTCCAAGCAAAATGGGGGAGAAAAAAGGCACCCCCTGGCAGGAGCGCAGAAGCACGTGCGTTAAAACGGTGATAGCTGTGGGTCGGCCTGAAAGTCAGCATTTTACCGGTCTAAGGGTGCTCCTATACAGGGCATTCCTACAAGTGTTTGGTCATATAGCGCGATTCGGACTTTTAGTTGACTGTCTTAAGGGCTAGCTAGAGTTTCCTCGGGGCTTCTCAGTATATAGGTCAACCAACGTTGAACACAAGGGTCACTGCGTGTTCCTGCGTGGTTGGTCCAAAACCACCTTCTGTGTCCCTTTGACATGCGTTGCCATGGGGAGGCATGATGAACTGATGAGGACATATTACAAGACATGTAGACACACAGCAGAAAAGCCCTTTCTACTACTGCAGCATTCGGTCAAGGGTCAAGTTGTGCCTGGATGCTTCCTCAAGACTTGTAGGGAGCGGAACTTTCTCATTTCTCCTCATGGTTTCATGAACTTCACAACAGGCCCCTTGTGCTGATCAGATTTGGGGAAGCACATTACTTGTTGCTCGTGGCTTGGTGAATCTTCATCCTTCAGCCCTTTGTCTTGGTGGCTCCCAGCCCTCCCCTTAGAGTTTTGTAGCTTTTTGGTGTTTAGTGGGAGCTTCCATTTAACCCACTTATAAAGTGATTCACTTTAGCGGATCTGAATCCGGACAGCCCAGTTGTGTGAAGCGTGTGGTGTGAGCATTGCATCTGCCGAATCTCCAAGGGCAGAAGAAGAAGCCGCGGGCGGAGTGCCGGGCACTTGCGAGAGGGTGAGCCGCTGCAGGAACCAGATCCCAGGGTTTTGGAGGGCAGAGGGACGAGTTCCAAAGGAAAATGGAGTAGCCAGCAGTTCCTTTGTCGATCCTTACAGTGTTGCTGGCTACACTGTTTTGGGAATAGTGTGTAGTTGTCGATGTTGTTTTGCTCGTCGCGAAGGCTGGCCACAAGAGGCTTTGCGTGAGGTTTGCCCTTGAAGGGATGGCATTGGTGGGATCTCGCGATAGTTCCGTCGGTGGGCTGCCAGATATCCTGGTTACACGTGGCGGGAGTCTGTAGGTGAAAAGCGCAGTCGTATGCATCTGATTGCCAACCTGTGGTCGAATACATCCCCCAGTGTACTTAAGGGGCAGGGTGCCTAGTAAGTGCAGTAAGCCTGGTTATAACCCACTTGGGAGACTTGTAACCATGCAGCTTTGGTGGGTTATGAGTTATAACCATGCTTACTAACCACTTACCTGACGTACGCTGTCCCTTTAAGTAGGATGTCCTTGGCTTCCCAGATCTTCGGTTCAGGTCAGCTCAGGCTGCTCAACGCGGGATGAGCTGCTTGGCGAATCGGGACGTGAAGCGAGAGGGGGTTAAAGCCAGTGTCGGCATCGGCCCTTCATTTTCATTGTAATTTTCACCGAACGTGTGCCTTTCTCTTGGTTTCTTGGTGGCTCCCAGCCATCCCCTTGGCTTTGTAGCCTTTTAGTGGTTAGTGGTAGTTTCCATTTAGCCCACTAAAAGTTAAACTTTTCGCGGAGGATCTGAGGGCAGCCCAGGTTTGTCTTTTGTGTGATCTTGACTTTTTTAGCTCTTGGGAACTGACAGTTTCCCCCACAAGTTTCACTGTCAAGAGCGCGGAGACCGACACGGGCCTGATGGTCAATCGCATATCCCCATGTATCCCCGGCTACGCTGCGCCTAGTGATCTGAAATCTTGCCGGCTCAAAGCACTACCTAAAAGCATCCGGGTGGTCAGGGTCAAAAGTATAAGCACTGCCAAGCAACTTGCACCTGGCTTGTCGGTTTTTTGTGCAACCTCCAAATAGGATGTTCCCTCAACAACGGCAGCTTGTTGTTTTGATGTTTCCTTCCAAACACCATCTCAAAGGAGATCCCCAATTTTGGGACACATCCCGCAGTCAAGCAGTGGCAATACCGCACTCCCAAAAGATATATTGTTCTTGAAGCAATGATTTCGCCCGTAGTAGTCGGCAAGCGAAATCACACCATCACTTCAATTATGTGGCTACATTCTATTTCATGACCTCCGTTCGGAAGCGGGGCTAACCTCAGATTCCGGGCATGCTGGGGCCCGCTGGCGGAATTGTGACATTGCCCCAGAGCTGCATAGGACTAGGGCGACGGTTCCAGCTCATTTTTAAAGCGGCTGTTTTGTTGAAGGCCACACAAATACCATGAGAATGTTGGCGCCTCAATAGTCTAGTGACAAAGAGTATTTGGTACCCTTTGATTGATCGGGCACCGACGTTCAGGGTTGATTGCTGAGCCTTTATAACCAACTTGCTAGTAAACAGAAGTCAGCTCGAATGAACCAGAGTTCCACGCCCGGAGACACAACTGTCGGAAGTAGCTGGGGATAGTTCCCCAAAAGCCTCCAGGTTCTTCGGCAGGTTGTACCCATGGTAGCTGAGGCTCTCGGGGTAAGTACCCTTGTGGCCAGGATCATCTCAGTTGTTCAAAGCGAATCGACCTGAAATGACCTTTTGGTTTTCCCATTTTGGGAACCATATTTAGTCATGGCCCCAAAAGGTTAACCTTTTAGTTCCAGGTCCTTTGGGCAACTGAGTTATAACACCGTGGTTTGAACATCCAAGATGCGCAGTTGGCAGCGGCAACTCTTCCGTCTTGCGGTGAGGTCTCCGGTGGGCCTGCGGCGGTGCAAAGGAAAAGGGGGGAACTCGAGCTGCCCTTTGCAGACGCGGCTGCTGGAGGCGCAGTTCGAGAAAACCGGCCTCCAGTTCGAGAAAGTTCTTTAAAGTCTTAAAAAAAGATGGGGTCCAACTCAAGCTTTTGTCTAATACGGAGTGACCTATAGTTTGTGTTTGTGACCAATCATAGGCAAGTCTGCTTGCCCGAGCAGCACTCAATGTATTTCAAGGTCTTGGGTACGGCAAAAGCATCACCGAAGCGTGCTCCATGTTTTCCATGTCCTCTCTGGGAGCAATAAGTTTGTCCGTGGCTCGCCTGTGACGTGTGAAACACCTTTAAGAGCAAACAACATCATCAAACGCCTAGCGCAAGGTTCCCCACGCCTTTACTAATTTACTGTTATCCACATACGTAGCATGTCGGCGTTGTTTTTTGGTTCTGCTCGCTTGGGGCTGCAAAGAACAAGGTCTTTGCCAAGCTGCCATTGTTGGCGTTGCCTTCAGCTCAGAGGGTGAGAACGGGGATTGGTGCAAACAAGGCCATGCCCGCATCTGAATGCAGGGAAGCGTAAACCATTGGCTTTGACAGGTTCCAACAGGTTAGAAGGCACAGCTTCAACATCACCAAATGGGTCTGTCGTTTCTTAGGCGACCCCCCCCCAAAAAAAAAGAGAGTGGTTTTCCTTCTGGTACCTGGTACCTCCAAAAAACCGGAGTTGTCGATTGGAAGCTGCAAAGTTGTTTGCTTGCTCTTGGAAATATTGGACATTGAGCGCCGGTAGCAGATCCAGACCCGGCGTTTCCGATTCGGGCCCATTGCACAGAAAAGGCACACCGGGCAGCTCAAATGCGTCTTAGAGTGTTTCCACTCCCATTCAGGACTTGCCCAAGATGTAGAAGCTTCCTGTGTACAATAGTACATACAGTAAAACCAATATGAAGAGCTTCGCGTTGCTCTTGTTTCGTGCATGCGCGGCGGTGTCATCAAAATTCATGATGGATCTTGTCTGGGTTGGCAATTTCTGAATCTCCCGGGAATATTTGGCTTGTCCAAGGTTTCTCTTATCAAGCCTTGAATTATTGTTGATTCAAAAGAGAAGTGGTGATGTTGGATGTTGGTTGTGGGTCCCCCACTAGCCTTTCAGACAATTGTGGTTATGACGCACACACAAAATAAAGTGTGTGTTTCAATACCCGTGATTTGAAGCACCAGCTTGTAGTGGGGGCTGGTGTTTGTACACCCGGATTGATAAGACCCAATATCCACGCAACGGCGAATGGGGTGCTAGCCAGAAGCCCCATCCAGGCTTCTGGGCGTCTGGGTGAATAGCATTCAAACCATGACAGGCACCTCCCAAGCTGGCGAAGCATGTGCCAAGGCCGGTTTCTGGTAAGTACCCTCCCACCCTTTTCATATGGAACCTGGCGTTCGGAGGTTGCTGGAAGGCCAATTTCCTTTAAAGGGACCCCTGTCAGGTTCCACGTTAATTGGTGGGAGGCGAATTGATATGAGACTCGTTTGCTCATTGCTAGCCAGAGATTCGCCTGAAAGCTGGCCTAAGGCACGTTAAAGGGGGACAAGTTCTTATGATGTTTAGCATGCCAGGAGTCTGGCCGCTGCACACTTCTGGTGGAGGCAGATGGGACTTGCTTTTGGAGGCAGATGGTTCAGCTATTTAGCATTGAAGTTGTAGACATTTACAGAATTCACCCGCCTTGAAAGCCGGCAAACGTGGAATCGGGGTCACGGCTGAGCCCTGCAACCCCATTCTATCTCCTTTAAACCCCAACGTTTACATTTTTTTGGGGGATTTCACCCAAGGATTAAGAGGACACAGCTTTGCACGGTTCCGTTCTCTGTTTGCCTCACGTGGGGTTGGTCACACAAATCATAACAATTCACCCAGACCATGGACCATGGGCGGTGCATATCCCTCAGGTCAAAGGGGCCGTTGAGGTGAGTCCCGAATCCAAGTACTGGCTGCCTTGTTTTGGGCCTGTAATCAGTATGCAGGCTGCAACAAAAACACATTCTGTTGCCAACCTTCCAGCGGTTGCAGCGGCGTTCGGGAAAGCCGGTGGCGATTTTGTCGGAAAGGCCAGGGTCAACGAAGTTCAAACTTTCCCCGGAGAACTGGGAACGTGTCGGAAGAACCTCAAACAAATGCAGTTGGGTGTCCTCCAACTCTTTTTTGGTTTGGGCTCTGGCTGTAAATGAAGGAGCCAGGAAAATGAACCAAAGCGGTAATGAAGCAGACGTGGGCAAAAGGTACCTGGAAACAAGCTATTGCCCATGTTTGTTGTGAAATGAACCCAAATGTGGTCTTTCCAAGCCACTGTCAACTTCCATGAGCACGGCGGAGGGTAGGTTGGTGCTTGTCTCAGCAGCACCAAAGTTCGAGTGGAAGTTGTCCCTTTGATTTGTCAGCGTTCCGCCTCAGTTTCTGAAATCCAAATTGCCAGATTGATCTTGCCACTTGCCCTCCAGCCCGGCTGCAGAAGTGCAGGTAACGAAGAAAGGGGTTCCCTTTGAAAGCAGCCAGCAAGCGTTGTTTTTTTTTTTCCCCCTAGCCACACACGCCAAAAGAGATGAAGGCAGATCCCCTATACCCTCATTCGTGGGGTTTTAAAGGGAGGAAGCAGCTGCAGAGTATGACAGTTTATATACATCATATGCGCCAACAGTTGTACATACATATATATATATATATATAGAGCGAGATGAATGTACATCGCTGTACACATATATGCATATCTCCAGATATACACAACTACAGCCTGCTTTTTGAGAATTCCCTTCTTTGCTTGGAGAAAAATATCTCCCCCATTTTTTGTGGGCAAACATTTCCATCTACGGCCTGCTTCCAACTTTGCTTGGTGTAAATTTCTCCCCCCATTTGTCGGGGGAAGACAAATGGCTGTGGCTCAACAAACCGGTACCCAAAATGGAACCCTGGTAAGTGGAAACATGGACCAAGACCTGCGGTTTGCCCCTCCTGCTTAATTTTGAGCCAAGTCTCCATCGGACGGACGGATCGATGAGGCGCCGCTGAAGGTCTTCAACGGCTGCCCGGTGCCTTTGCTGCTGGCCTTCGACCCGGAGATCCGGAAGGAGGCGAGGGACGGGAGGGGACGTGAGGGGTGTCCGAGCGGAAGGCGGGAAATTTCAGGCATCGGGTCCCTTAAGTGGTCAGGTTTTGGGTTGGCGAAGGTGGGTGTTTGGCCCATTTAACCCACTAAAAGTTGGAAACTTGTAGCAGGGATCTGGGAGCAGCCAAGTAGGGGCCAACGAGTTGCGAATAATTTACGCCTAGGATTAAATTTGGCTTTGACATACCTCATTGGGCGTGGTGGGCCCAACTAGTCAGGGCCCTCCAGAGGTATGAGCCGTCCCGGGCGGGGCTTTTTTGGCCCAACCGTTGAGGGGGCGATCCTGGTAGAGCTGCCAGGGCCCCACTGCTCGAAGGGCTTGTTAACGAGTTGTTTCATGCTTGATGGGCTGCAGAAGTGCCAAGATGGTATGAGCCGGGCTCGTTTCTTGATGTTGAACTCCTTTGGGGGCTGGATTTATCATAGTACAGCCATACATCGCGAACGTTTGACTAGCTTCCGGGTTGCCCCGAACCTTAAACGTAGAACAAACAGTGGTATGTGTTTGAGGTTTCATTTCCCAATGGTAGGACATATAGGATCCAAGTGGCCATGATCGCCACACATGGCCGGGATTGACCCAATGGCTTGATCAGCGGTTTCTCGGTTCGCTTGGCAATGCGCCAGGCGCTGGGCACTGTGCCGGCGGGTGCGGTGCGCACAGGCGCAAGGGCGAACTGGCAATCTCCACGAGTTCTTGGGACGGAGCCACTTGTTGGGCGACCATTTGCCTCAAAGTGTGGCTTCATTTTTTTGGCGGGGCACTTTCAGTCCAAATGAATGATGAAAATCTGAGTACTTATCCAGAGCTCCTTCACTCAGAATCATCACTATTAGTCTGATTCCTGTCAATCTTCAGAATCATCATCCTGCTCCATTACATAGCAATGCGTCAAGTTTCATTGACATGTGTTGTTTCATTGACATGTGTTGAACCCCCAACAAGATGCATTTGATGTTTGCTAGCCCAACCTGATCACTACTAGACCAAATTCGATCAGAACCTATCTGAAACATTTTTGGTTCAAGCCTCATTCACTCAGAATCATCACTATTCGCGATTTTACGTCAAGACTTAGAATCATCATTAGGCCAAATTGATCATACCTAGGGTTGTCAGCAAGCAGCAGTTGGGTGAGGTTTTGACCCCTTTGCAAAAGTTCGTTCGTGGGTAGTCTGTAGGGAAACAGTAACGTTCCAACATGTTCAAATGTTAGTCGGGTCAAATCAAAAAGCCTACCGAGCTACGGAGTCCCCTCAAATAGATCAATGCCCTATTAGCAGGGTCAGCACCCCTGACTACGAATCTCCAGGAAGCAGAGCATAATTTTTAAGGATAGATCTCAACCACTTTTTGCCAAGGCCCTGGAATGTATAAGTGTTTAAGCCTGCCGTCAACATGTGGGAACAGTCCCAGCCAGTTTGTAGCAGTTTGCCACCAGTTAACATGGAACCCGAGAGGGGGACCGTTTAGAGGGACCATTTTCCCTGTCAGGTTCCATGTGAAAAGCGTGGGAGGGCAAGTGTAGTTGAATTCCTTTTTCTGCATGGGTTTTGCCGGCCTATCTTGGCATCAGTTCGCCTTGCGAACAGATGTGTAAACTGGGGAGATGTGGGTTGTGAAATGTTTGGATAGTATATGGATATATATATATATATATATATGTATGTCTTGGATGCATTCACACCTCAGAGTCTTATGCATTACTGAGTTGTTTTTGGAGTATCTCCCATGACTAAATCTTGTGCTGGAAAAATTGGAAGGGTCTTAAGCTGAGGGTCAAAACAACAAAGATCACTGGCACATCCACCAAACAGGTGTCCACGTGTTTCAACGTGTCGCAAGGTGGCTGTGGCTCAAAACTAAACGATCGGAGGGGCAAACCGCAGGATGTTGGCTCCTTTTTTTCCTTTTACCAGACCAAGCCATGGTACGGTCAAAGCCTACGGAATTTGTTTTGGTCCACTTCCCATTTCGGAATTTTCCGCGCGTGGCAGGCGCCACGGTGAAGGCCTACGACGGCCTCGGCGGCAGCGTCTCCTGGGCTGTGGGCTTCGGCCCCGAGGCCCGCGGCGGATCCGGCGGCGCCCTGGGCGACGCGGAGCTGGGGGCGCGGGGCGCGGAGCTGTGCCCGGTGCGCCCGGATGGGCGCCGCGGCCGCATGGAGACGGACGGACGGAGATTTGTGGGTAGAGAAAAGAGCCTTGCATGAGAAAGGGTAATTCTTATTTTTTGGGGATCCCTGAATTTAGCTGCTGGAATTCTAGAGTAACATTTTGCAGATATATAGATGTCCGCTTCTTGGTGCGAAATCGGCTTAGCCGAATGAGGAAATTGACTCACTTTTGTAAACCATCCAACTGGCAGTTCCCCATTAAGCGGACCAATGCCTGGGTTCATTGTTACATTCCCTACTGAGCACCAGCAAGTTTTGGTTGGTTTGGTTGAAATATAGAGGGCCCTGGTTTACCCGGTGGTTGAACCATTCAATCATCTACAAGGGGTCTATTTGACACCTATAGGACGGCTGCAAAAACGCAAGACGACGTTGAATCAACCATTGGCTGCGATTTTATGGGGACTACGTGTTGGAGCTTCAAGGTTAAAATGGTTTTCCGCGTGGCGAGCAACCAGAGCTTACCTGAAGCCTGCCTTTTTTTCGGGAAGCCAAAAGGAAAGCAAAACTGATTTCCCATTCGATACAGCGCCAGCATGACCCATTTTAACCCCGATTGGGCATCAGCCATCTGTATTTTTTTGTATGTTCGGTTAAAGGGAATCCGCCCAGGTTGGGTACCCGTTCCAACCAGCTTAAGAAAGGAGTTCCGAGTTCCAACTCCTGATTTTGGTGGGTTTTCGGTTTTTTGACACTTTTGCAGGCAATTTGTGCAGTTGTTTTTTTGCACTTCGTCGTTTTGCACTATATTTCAACCAAACCAACCAAAACTTGCTGAAACCAGCCCAAAGACTTGGTGTGCGCCGGTTTTGCCTTCTTTCCTCGCATGCGAAGGCAGGGCTTCCTCTGGTGGGAGCTGGAGGGCCGTACGCGCCACGTGGCGGTGCCTCCGGACCGGGAGAGCGGGAGAGCAAAACGTGAGGTGATGGGAGGTGTCCCCTTGCGTTTGAAGCCTGGGGTTCAGTTACCAACATTCAATCAGGCTACAAACATTAAAGCAATGGGGTTTAGTTGCAACCATGGTTTTAAAACAACGGTTTAAGACTGGTAGCGCGTTACATTGTGGTTATAAAAAGGTTGGGTTCATATAACGTGCCACCCACTGGTGGTAAACCAATGGAGGGTTACCAACAATGGTAGCGTGTTAACAGTGGTTACCAACATTAAAACACTGGCGGGGCACCAGTGGGTGCACATAGCCACAATGTAACGCGCAACCAACTGGTGCCCCTCCCCTGGGCCCGCTACTGGCAGGGGAGATGAAGCTATGGAGCTATGAAGCTATTGTCATGATCCAAATTGGGTCAACCGTTAAAAGCACGGGTGTCCCTTTGGTCGGTTAGTTTAGTTAAGAAATAGATGGCTTCTGGTGTCCTTCTGATCGGTTGGTGTAGTTAAAAATAGACAGGTTCCACAATTCCACTGGTTCCCATCTACCAGGGAAGCCCATCTATTTTTCCAAAAGGCCTATGGAGGTGTCCCTTGGTTTTTCCTGAATGCAACACCAACTTTAGAGCCTCCGGCTCAGTCCGCCGACATTGTCCTCTCCCTTTTCTCCTTCCTCCTCTCTCCCTTGTCTCCCTTGTGTGTTCTGTTGTCCTCTCTCCCTCCCCACCCCCCCCCAATGCATGTTTGTATGTAATGTAAGTAAGTATGTATGTATGTATGCATGTATGTATGTATGTATGTATGTAATGTATGTATGTAATGTAATGTAATGTAATGTAATGTAATGTAATGTAATGTAATGTAATGTAATGTAATGTAATGTAATGTAATGTAATGTAATGTAATGTAATGTAATGTAATGTAATGTAATGTAATGTAATGTAATGTAATGTAATGTAATGTAATGTAATGTAATGTAATGTATGTATGTAATGTATGTATGTATGTATGTAATGTATGTATGTATGTATGTATGTATGTATGTATGTATGTATGTATGTATGTATGTATGTATGTATGTATGTATGTATGTATGTATGTATGTATGTATGTATGTATGTATGTATGTATGTATGTATGTATGTATGTATGTATGTATGTATGTATGTATGTATGTATGTATGTATGTATGTATGTATGTATGTATGTATGTATGTATGTATGTATGTATGTATGTATGTATGTATGTATGTATGTAATGTAATGTATGTATGTATGTATGTATGTATGTATGTATGTATGTATGTATGTATGTATGTATGTATGTATGTATGTATGTATGTATGTGTATGTATGTAATGTATGTATGTATGTATGTATGTATGTATGTATGTATGTATGTATGTATGTATGTATGTATGTATGTATGTATGTATGTATGTATGTATGTATGTATGTATGTATGTATGTATGTATGTATGTATGTATGTATGTATGTATGTATGTATGTATGTATGTATGTATGTATGTATGTATGTATGTATGTATGTATGTATGTATGTATGTATGTATGTATGTATGTATGTATGTATGTATGTATGTATGTATGTATGTATGTATGTATGTATGTATGTATGTATGTATGTAATGTATGTATGTATGTATGTATGTATGTATGTATGTATGTATGTATGTATGTATGTATGTATGTATGTATGTATGTATGTATGTATGTATGTATGTATGTATGTATGTATGTATGTATGTATGTATGTATGTATGTATGTATGTATGTATGTATGTATGTATGTATGTATGTATGTATGTATGTATGTATGTATGTATGTATGTATGTATGTATGTATGTATGTATGTATGTATGTATGTATGTATGTATGTATGTATGTATGTATATGTATGTATGTATGTATGTATGTATGTATGTATGTATGTATGTATGTATGTATGTATGTATGTATGTATGTATGTATGTATGTATGTATGTATGTATGTATGTATGTATGTATGTATGTATGTATGTATGTATGTATGTATGTATGTATGTATGTATGTATGTATGTATGTATGTATGTATGTATGTATGTATGTATGTATGTATGTATGTATGTATGTATGTATGTATGTATGTATGTATGTATGTATGTATGTATGTATGTATGTATGTATGTATGTATGTATGTATGTATGTATGTATGTATGTATGTATGTATGTATGTATGTATGTATGTATGTATGTATGTATGTATGTATGTATGTGTATGTATGTATGTATGTATGTATGTATGTATGTATGTATGTATGTATGTATGTATGTATGTATGTATGTATGTATGTATGTATGTATGTATGTATGTATGTATGTATGTATGTATGTATGTATGTATGTATGTATGTATGTATGTATGTATGTATGTATGTATGTATGTATGTATGTATGTATGTATGTATGTATGTATGTATGTATGTATGTATGTATGTATGTATGTATGTATGTATGTATGTATGTATGTATGTATGTATGTATGTATGTATGTATGTATGTATGTATGTATGTATGTATGTATGTATGTATGTATGTATGTATGTATGTATGTATGTATGTATGTATGTATGTATGTATGTATGTATGTATGTATGTATGTATGTATGTATGTATGTATGTATGTATGTATGTATGTATGTATGTATGTATGTATGTATGTATGTATGTATGTATGTATGTATGTATGTATGTATGTATGTATGTATGTATGTATGTATGTATGTATGTATGTATGTATGTATGTATGTATGTATGTATGTATGTATGTAATGTATGTATGTATGTATGTATGTATGTATGTATGTATGTATGTATGTATGTATGTATGTATGTATGTATGTATGTATGTATGTATGTATGTATGTATGTATGTATGTATGTATGTATGTATGTATGTATGTATGTATGTATGTATGTATGTATGTATGTATGTATGTATGTATGTATGTATGTATGTATGTATGTATGTATGTATGTATGTATGTATGTATGTATGTATGTATGTAATGTATGTATGTATGTATGTATGTATGTATGTATGTATGTATGTATGTATGTATGTATGTATGTATGTATGTATGTATGTATGTATGTATGTATGTATGTATGTATGTATGTATGTATGTATGTATGTATGTATGTATGTATGTATGTATGTATGTAATGTCATGTATGTATGTAATGTAATGTAATGTAATGTATGCATGTATGTATCCTTGCACTTCCCCTTTGCTCCCCAGTATTTTCCGCAAAAAGCACGGTTTTCCTGCGTTTTCGCAAAGAGGACGACCAAAAACATTGAGTTTTTCCAGATTTTCGGCAAAAGGATGCAAGAAGCCCAAGCCAGCCAAAAAGCCGGCAGGGGGAATCGAGCCTGGGACCCCTGTTTTGCGACCGGCTCCCCGAAGACTACGTTTAGTGGAACGTCATCAAATTGCCGCGCCGGACGCGGGGGAGGGGGGGGGGGGGGTGGGGCTGGCGACCGAAAAACCTTGCGTGTTTGACGTGTCCCGGGGGGGGGCTAAGGGGGGGTTATCCTCTATCCTCTCTTAGGTATCCACTAATAGTCCTCTCTTATGTATCCGACACGCCGAACAATGTCGGCGGATTAAAGGGGAAAGGAGCAAACTCTCCGCTGAAAACACCAGCAAATGGCGCCTTCGAAGAAATGGCCAGTGTGCTCCCCTGAAAAGAACGTGCTGAATGAGGGGAGCCGAAGGTCCAGATGCGAGTGATTTGGAGACTCAGACCAACCAAAAGTGTCCACCCCCCTTATAGAAAGTTATAACCTACCTGATGTAGCTGGATTATGCAGGGAGAGGAGAGGGCCTATGAAAAGGCGGCTTTTCGTAGGACTTTCACGAGACCTCCCTCCCGTTTTTGGGTACCATATATGCATAAAGGGAGGAGGAATATCAGGCAGCTGCTGCAGGGTTGTCCTTTTAAGACCATCTTATGGTCAAACAAAAAGAAGAACTTGTTGGGATGGTTTGAGAGGGAGCATTCCACCGTACAAAGATAGATTGCGCCACAGAAAGGTGGAGGGTTTGTTTGTCAGGTGCCATTGTACGGAAGGGTTTGCTTTTGGAGGCAGTAGTATTGCACTGAGCTGGGCAGCGAGTCCTTTGCTAATGTGGAGCCTCATGTTCAGTTGGTGGATCATATTTTACGTTGTCTAGAGAAAAGGTTAGACATGGGTCTTCCAACTGGATGCGTATTTCCTGACAACTTCTATCAGCCGACTAAAAAGCAGGTGGTTAATTGCATTTGCGGCGCTTAACGAGTTTTTACCAAGCTCGTCACGTGTGGCGCTTTCTCACAGGCAGAGGGCCGTTCGCCTCAACCGGCGAGCACTCCCCTTGATGAGCGAGAAATTGAAGCTTAACCCCTGTCAATGGGCTCGTAATACCCCCCCCCTTTGCAGCCAACCCCCCCCCCAAAAAACAAAACAAAACAACAACAACAACAACAATACAAGAATGAAGAACATGACACACACAACCAAAGAAGAACCCCCAACTTCCCAACCCCAGCTTTCCCCCCCCCCAAAACCCCCCCCCAAACCGTCCCTCACCCGCCGTTTTCCAGCCACGGGCGGTTGTCGCAGGATACCAACGCGGTGGAGCTGCGGCGCAGCGCCCAGGGCCTCGAGTGGCGCTGCTTCCGCGCCGCCGCGCTGCCCAAACCCAGCGAGGCCCAAGCGGGTCGGGCGCATCCGACCGATTTTTGGGATTTTCTGTCTTGGCAAGTATCCCACTCTTGGTGACCTATCTTTGTTTGTTTGTTTGTTTGTTTGTTGGTATTAAGGTCCCAACTGGTGAAGCTTATATATGTTCGGGTCCTTTGGGCAAGTCCTGCGTTGGTTTTGGAGTGTCCTTTGGAGAGTCCTAATCACCGTGGGGAAACCAGGATTTGTTGGTATTTACAGGGAAATCATCATTTGAGGGGTTCTTGGGTGGTGCAGGATTTCGTCCATCCACAGTATGGTCCATTTGGAGGGACAGGGGGAAATCGCCAAGTTTCCCGCAACACGCAGGGAGGCTCATGCATTTGCCCAGATCCTTGGGAAGTTGGAAGCAATTATGGCATTGTGTTTTGGTGAGTACCTCCACTTCCTACCAGTAATTTGGCGGGTGTGTGTGTGTGTGTGTGTGTGTTTACTCCCACAGATGACAGTAGAGTCTGACCGATGCTAATATGTATGTGTGTGTGTTAATTATAGCAGAACTAGGGGACAGCTCCCCTCTCCTCGCCAAAAAAGAAGAGGAACAAATACGAAACAAACATACACACGAATTTTATGGTTTTCCTGTAAGCACACACATCATATCAAGTGCGATGGTTTCCCAGTTTCCAGGTTTCCGTTTAAACCAACCTCCCCCCCCAAAAAAAACAACAACAAAACAGACAAGGAACGTTAAGTTATGGTTTTCCTGCGGGTTTCCGTTGAAACCAAGCTGAAGTTACCTTCTCCGCAGCTCCCCTCACCGTGCCCCGTGAGCCGCTGGAGCCGCTGGAGCCGCAGGTCTTGGAGCTGGCGCCCCATGAGCCGCTCTCCATCTTCGACCTGCCGCCGCAGCCCACGAGGCGCGAGTCCGCGGCGAGTCGGCGGGTCGGCGTGAAGGGAAGCCGAGGGGAGGGAGATGGGCCTATGGGTGTGTCGGTTCTGTGGAGGATGGGCCCCATGTTTTGTGTGGTTGTGAATCCCGCTTCAAGGCGTTGTTTTTTTTTTGGGTGGGTTGGTGGGGGGGGGGGTACAAAAGACGCATGCGCATGGAGTTTGCAAACCCCTGCCCAAACTGTCGGGACCAGGCCGTGTTGCATGGTTCTAAGAGGTTTTGAAGTACCCAAACCACTACCGGGGGCAATGTGGTGTGTAACAATTGGGTGTGTGTTACAATAGGAGTGGGCCCCCCAAAGTGGGGCGAGTTTTCCCGTTGGCTTGCCTTCTCATTTGCCCGGAGGGGAGCCTGCCAGGGGAATGTTTGGATAACCTGGCGGTTCTCTTGGGGTGAACTCCCCCAAAAGTCAAACAAGTGAAGGATCCCCTGTAAAATGGGTTGCGCCCCCCAAAGATAGCAACTTGGTCTTATCATGGTGTTTTAGTCCTTGCTTTCTGCTATGCGGGTTCCTGCCAACACCGCACTGAGAGGAACTGCTTCTGACAGCCCGGAAAAGGAAGGCCTGAGGTAAAACCCCTTGTAGATTTGGTTGTCGGAATCTTGCCAAAGGTTGCCATGGTGTCTTAGCCCAATAAACTCCTGCACATGGGGCTATTACTCATCGATCTACAGGTAGTGCGCCTTCAGAAGACGTTGACCGGACGGGGCTTGCATCGGATAGCCAGGTGGATAGTGTTGCAAGGGTCAAGTTTGATTGATGTTTCTTGTGGGGTGATGCGGTGTTCAGAAATTGGGGCCCAATGTTGAATGTGGCTTAAAGAGAACCACAAAGTAATCCAATCGAAGCCCTGTGGGCTTCGCCAATAAGAGCCCAACCAGCATGTTACGAGCCGGAAAGATGGGGAAGCCACCAGCGGTCGGGGGGCATGTGTGGGTTCTCAAACATTTGGCCTTTCTTTTCAGACCCTGGTGCCTTTCAGCATACTGCCAATCTGCAGGGATTACATTTTAATAGGACGCTTAGATTTGACAACCTGGTGGGTTGAAAGTGAGAATTAAAGGACAGCCGCCATTGGCGTTTTCCTTTGGGAAAGTCTTGGTCGGAACCACAAGTTGATGTAGGCAATGTTATTTTCAGTCCCTTTTTCACCAACCTCCCTTTAGCTTCCCCCTACTTGGTGGTTTGGAGGTCAGGGGTTGGTTTCCCATTTGCCCCCTACAACCAGGGGTTCAGATCCCAAACTAATCCAAAGCATCAAAGGGTTGACCGGTTCCTGTCTTTAAGGCAGCTCGTTGGCCCCGATGAGCTCCACTCGAATTGCTCGAGGCTGTCAGTGGCGCTGGAGAGCGAGCAGGGCCGCTCTGAGTGGACGCTGCCGGTGCTTCTGCCCGCGCCATGCTGGCCAGTTTGTGGGAGCAATGTGCAATAGAGATTATTTATCGTTTGTTCTTTTGTTCTTCAGGTATTATAACAATCGACATGCGTTCTTTTCCTTGTTTGCGCGGTTGCTCAGTTGATGTGTTTGGCTTGGTTGGTTGATTGGGTCTGTTAGGTGGGTCGAATTGTTTGCTTGGTTCTTTGGTTTCTTGTTTCGTTTCGGGGATTGTATGTGTTTGTCTCTGTCTGAGATTGATGGTTTGAGTCAGTTTTGTCGCGTCCCAAGTTTGGATGTGTTCGCCTGAGCCAGTTTGGCTTTGCACAGGGTTGTGGAATGCTGTTGGTCGGGCTTAAAGGTCTCATTCCCTATTCAATTGGGAGGTTTCTCTGCCACAAAAGAAGTGGTAAGAATGGCAAAGACCAAGTTCCCACAACCCCTGGGTTCTGGACGCACACAACCCAGTGGAATGCAGTCTCCATAGCACAGGAAGCGGCTTGCTGCCTTTGGTTGGGTTACGCACCCCGGGTCTATGGGTTAGAGCTGCCCGGGCCGAAACATAAGACAAGACGAGATCTTGGCAACAGCCCTTGACCTGTCCTTTGGTTTCAGCCAGCCTTAGTCAGTTCCGTTGCGATGACGACCCATGAGAAGATCCTTTGTAGACTCTGTCCCTTGGCCAGGGGTCCTCTGTCACTTCGCGTGAATGAGCTGCAAAAGCATGACTTGTTGGGTTTGTGTACGATGGCTTCCTTCTGGGGTGATGTTTAAAGGGGACATATAAGAGGTCCGCAAGTGGGTTGAGGGGGGGACGCTTCGAGGTGCTCCGAAACAGCTGCCGATACACTTTCAAAGCCGCCCTGTTGTGGCCGGGAGACTTCTGACTAAATGCGGAATCAACCAACCAGATCTTTCTTAGTCAGTTCGCATTTGTGCTTTGGGGTCATCGGCGGGGGAATCGAGCCGGGCAAAGCAGTGGAAGCAAAGGGCGCTGGCCAGGCTTGCCGGAGAGCGTCGGCCTTATGTCAAGTGGGCGGCGGGTCCCATCAGGAAATCGGCGTCCGCGTCCAGTGACTATTGACAGTCGTCGCTCAAGTGTCAACCTCCCAAACTTGGAGCCCCATTTGAGATGGTGCTTCAAAAGGAAAGCTGATCTTTCAGAATCATGCTAAACTCCGCACAAGTTAACCATGGAGTTGCCCATCCGGCTGGTAGCCTGGTTAAATGGTGGGATGCAAGATAATAACGTGTCAGAAGTGCAGCGATTCGGGTTACCTGAAGGTTGACTATCTCAGAAACCTTCTGTTGCAAGGTCCACCATTTTTCTCTTCAACCAAAATGGGGAATTGGTCCAGAGGCTTTGGTTGCTTACAAGCTGATCCTGATCCGTGTAGGGAGGGGTTGGTAGGATCAAGTTGGCCATTTGAGGACCCTGATTTTCTCCCTCCCCCCCCCCCGAACCAACCTGTTTTTGTTTGATACCCTGTGTGCCTCTTGCGTGCGGGTTCAAGAAAACAGGTTGAAGCTCTCAAAGAAAGCAGGGTCCCTGTCCATATTCCGGTCCGAGGGCAATCTTGAACCACCCCCCGCCTCCTGACCCGCCAGTAGGTAGGTGTCACCCGCCCCCCACCCCCACCCCCCGCCACACAAGCGAGTGAGGCCCTTCTTCTCCCGAAGCTCCTCTTCTGCCTTTGAGGCTTCGAGCATCGACCGGGAAAGCTTTGAAGCGCTCGACATGGGCTTCTCACTTGCCCAAAGCCGACCTTTAACCTTTTGGTTTTCCATTTTTTGTCCATTTTTGGTAGAGGCCCCAAAAGGTTAACCTCGTGTTCCCAGGTCCTTTGGGCAAGTGAGGCTTGGTTGTTCATTGGCAGTCTCCGGTTTTTAGACATCACCAAAAGGGCGAACATAAGTTGCAATGAGTTTGTGGGGTACTTTAGAACCAAATTGAGGCACGATCACAAGAAGTTTTGCGCGTAATTATGTAGCCCCTGTGTTTACTTGAATGGCTTCAAAGCAAGACAATTCTGGAGTGCTACTGTGCTTGGTTGCTCCTTGGCTGACACTTTTTGCCCCGGCCTATGCCCAAACTTGAACGAACTTGAAGACGTGAAAGGGGGAGGTCCCGAGTAGGTTGGACGGCGAGTAGCTGGCTTCTCGGTTCCCAGTGACAATGGCCAAAGCTTGCCGTTTCCAATTTCCTGGCTGTGGTTCCTTTGTTGCAGACTCTGGTTTGTTCCCTTTGCGGGGGAGGGCTTTTGGGGTTTACCCAAACCAGCGCTTCGGGGGTTCCCCCCATCAAAGAGAAGGCCAAGTACTGGCCAAGCGGGAGAAAGCATCGAGTCCCAGAAGAAAAAAGAAGCATGGCCATCTATTTTTCTATAGCAAAACAACCAAAAAGGACACCTGTGCTTCTTGGTTCTTCATGGTGGGAACCAAAGGAAAACAAAAAGGTCAGAGCCAAACTGCAGAACTTGAACAGGGGCCAAGCAGAAAACAACCCAAGCACGAAACCATCAAAGAGGGAAGGCAAAAGGGGCAACAGGCGGAAGCCTAGGCAACCGAACGTTGCAATGCAGTTGTGCCAGCCAAGTCTGTTCTGTCGCCTAGCGTTATCAAAGGCGGAGTCTGTGCTCTACGCCACATGAGCAAAACCATGCCGAGAGAGTGAAAAGCCGACCAAATCGAGTGTTTTTTTCAGTGTCAATTGCTTTTTTAATTCATGCTCGCAAGGTACTGCTTCGACCCCTTTTCACCCCAGTTGCCCTGTTTGCCCTTCATTCGGTTTGTCTTGTTTGAGAAACCAAAAGGAAATGAAGCCGTGTCGAGGCTTGCATATCCCTTTTGGACAGGTATTGATTGGTATTTAACAAAACCTGTTGACCGTTTTCTTAAACACCAGTCATCCATTTGTCCAATGGCACCCCCTAAACTTGGCACCGTCCAAACACTAAAGATGGAATGAACCAAGCGGAAAGTTAGGGTTTCCTGTTTGCCCCTTTTCGGACCAATGAAGATAGCATCCACCAAACAGAAATTTGAGATCACTCTTCAAGTTTCTTATTGCTTGTTAACAACTGCATGGCCGCCGTTCTCATCTTCAGGAGAACCCCAGTTGCCCAGTGGCGCCCTTTGTTCCTTTTCTGTGGGAAGGGTTCCCTCTTAAACTCAACTAACTAGAAAAGGGATGCCCCTTTTTCCCATGGAAATCCACTGGGCATCTGAGTTGAACCGTTCGGGTGGGTTGCAAGTTGCACGAGCGCCGGCAGGTCTTGCGAGAGCATCCAGCCACAGAGGAGGTGCTGGAAGTGTCTGCGGCCAAGCATGGGTTTCGGTCCGAGAGGGTCGAGTTTTTGGTGGACCAAGAAGGTGGGTGGGGGAACCTATGCAAAGAAGGTTTTTTTTTGTTTTTTTTCTTTTCTTTTTTTTTTCTCGAGGATACCCACTTGGATTTCGGTGTTCCTTTGGGTGTACCCTCAAAGCCATCCAAGAGGGGCATCCCGAAAAGGCGACACCCAATGATTGCCAACCCCGTATCTAAGTAGAACCCATGATTGAGTTTGATTGGATGGAGTTTTTCCTTTTAGTGGGAATCCGGATAACTTTTGCGGTGACACCCCCTATCAATAAGACAGATTCATTAATCCAGGGTCATTCTGTTGATAGAATAGGCTTTGGGACCCCGCTCAGTTGACAGTGGCCCTGTTGAGTCCGACCAGGTTGGTGGGACCCCAATCCAAACATCTATACATTTTGGGGAGCTCGATTGAGAATGCCGCTCATGCCGGCAGTAGGCAGGATAAAGCCAAAGTTCCTCAGCCCAGTCACAGCACCGCTGCTTTCAAGACGGGCGCCTGCCAGCACGAATGCCAGTTCAAAGATGTGGAAGGTCGGACAAAAAGCCACGAGAGCCAATGCCCCTTTACAGCGGATGAAGTTGAACGACGAGGCGACTGACATTTGCACGAAAACGGCGCACAACATTTTAGCTGATGCTTCGGAGAGGGACCAGATGACGTAGAAGGCGTCCGTGATTTGGAAGACCTTCAGCAGGAAAGCCTTAAACCTGGAAGCCTTCCAACAAGAATGTAAGAACATCGTTCACGGCAGCTTCTGTTGGAAGAAGTTGCTCATCCTTCTCATCTTTGTACTGCCAGTGTTGGGCCAAATTGCCACGTGCGAAATGAGATTGCAGGTTCGCCGAAGATGTTATTTGTGTTTTTTGAGGGCACCCCATTTTTGCATTTAAACGGAAACCGATGGGCAACCACCATTTTGGGGGAGGCCGCACGTGTTTTCTACAAAAAGCGGCTTCTGGTGAGGTTGGGTCATCATTCCAGCAGTCTCTAGTCCGCTTGGTCACGAGAAACACTGAGGCACGTAACCCGCATCCCTCTAGAAATGTTCAGAGAAGGTTCTGCCAGCCCTCTCCGCGGGGGTCGGACTTTCGTTTTCTTGTAAACGGGCTTTTTGGTTGGTGAGTGGTGTATGTTGGCAATGTGTTTGCCTGTCCAAGATAAGATGCGGGCGTTTCTCGGGTTTCTTGATTGGTTCAAAGAGAAACGAAAGGGCCCATGGTGTTTATTTCACAGACCCCGTTTGAGGATTGGCCAACGGACAGCGGGAAGCGTGTTATTTGGGGTTTGCCCATGGGACTCCTAAAATGTGACGGGGTGTTTTCCAGCACCTCATGGTTTTCCCTGAAAAAAACACATGCCGGGCGAAGGGGCCAATTCGGGGCTGCGCCGCTGATTCCAAGCAGATTCTGGCGAGAGGTGCGGGTCACACTCACCCTGAAGTGTTTGTTTTGGTCGAGCCATGTAAAACCCGTGGTGGTTTTAAGATTCTGTCAACCCAAAGAACAGTCTACCCATAACTACGCGTCTACCCCAAGTTGAACCCAACGCCAACGTTGGTATGAATAGTCAAAACTATGAGTCTGTGGTTGGGCTCAATTAAGCAACATTTAAGTCTAGACCTGTGGTCAAAGTCAAGAATCCAAAGTTTGGGCAATCCGAAGAACAAGTACTTGGATGGGCTACGCTGGCACCAATTAACTCGGAATCTGACAGGAGAAATCCTGGTTTGGACAATGTTCCTTGGTTCCATGTGAACAGGGTGAGGGGGAAGCCAATTTTTGGGCATCCCCATGGTCATCTCTTTGGCGGGTCCCCATTCCACCCGAGGCGCTGGGGCCGGGCCTTGCTGCCCCTGGTGGCCCGGCGCAACACAGCGCCCTGCGCGCGGAGCCCTGGCACTGGCTGACCGGATCTTTGGGCTTAAAAAGTTTAGGGGCAAATGAATGAAAATCAGCATTTTCCCAACAAGCGGATCCTCATTCTTAAACTGCTTGGGGAAATGAACCCAACAAGCGGATCGTTGTTCTTAAACTGCTTGGGAAAATGAATGGAAATCAGCATTGTCCCGACAAACGGATCTTTGCTCTTAATTTGCTTGGGGAAACCAATTGCAAGTCATTATTTTTTTCCAACAACCGGATCTTTATCCTCACAACCGGCTTGGGGAAACTGAACATTTTCCCTCCAGCCTGCAATCTGCAAAAAGGTAGAATTATTTCGGGCAAGGGTCAAATTAATGAAAAACTGGGACCCAGAAAATGGTGGGGTTTTGGTCTTGGATGCCGGTTTAAACCAACCCAAATAATGGTTCCTCGACATATGCATACACATGCACATGCACATACACATACACATACACATACATATTATACATATACACATACATGTATACAAACCTACATGCATACATACATGCATACTTACACACACACACACGCACGTCACCCTTTGGCCATGTCAGGAGCTATTCTCTTTAGACTACCTTGTTAGACACATTTGTTGGTCACCCTAAACTTGGGAAGCATGCCACACTTGGCAAAGAAGGTGGGACGCGAACGACTTTCTTTGGTGAGATATCGTAAACAGATGGTGCCCGAGTTTGCCGTGGTCCATGTTCAGTCACGGCCTTCCAATTCCTTGGGCAGCGGGGAAGACACCTGTCAAAATACTTCACCCGTTTGTGTTCAAGGTGAACCCAGCCGAAGCTTGAGTGTTGAGTGAGGGTTGTAGGTTGAGTTTTCAAGCTTGAATGCCACGTGTGAGACAAAACTTTCGAAATCCGTGCAGCGTGCTTTGGTCAGGAGCTGGTGCTGGGCGCAAGGCGCTGGCCTGGCACCCCGGGAACATGTGGCAGGCGCTCGTGGCTTTTTTTGAGGCTGAATGGATTGAGGGACACCCAGGGGTTGATTCCATCAGGACACACCCAAGGAGACCACATCCTTTGGAGCATTCCGATTTCTCGGGTTGATTCCAACCATTCTTTTCAACCATCGCTCTTTTCAATAACCGATCGCTGTTTCCCCAGGGTTTTGGCTGGTTTTTTAGGAAGGATGCCTGGTGGGCATGTCTTGTTTGGAGTCGGTAACCCTTGTTGGGTGGTTTTAAAGGGAAACCAACAGGAACGCCACTGAAGCAAGTCCAACACTTTTAAACTGCAACCACTCAAACTTCCAAGCAAGACTGAGTTGCAAATGTGTCCCAGTCTGCAAGACAGACAGGGCTGCACACTGCCAAAGCTCCAACACTGCAAGGCTGTGCAAAACTGCAACCCACTTGCAAGAGTTGCAGCACAAATGCCCAGCCTCAACACTGCAAGACTTGACAACCCACTCCAACTCACTGCCCAGCCACACCAATTTGCACGGGTTCAACTGCAGGTCTTGACCATTTCGGGGGTCCCCTTCAACAACGACACAGCCATGTGGTTTGTTTACTTGTTTCTGTTTATTTACTTTTCCTTTCAGGGTAGGGTATCTCTTGCCTTTGTGTGATTTGCTGTTGGGAATTGGGGGCTGCCACTTTGGGCAGGAACACTCGTTTCTTGGCCATGGCCCAGCAAACGGGTTCCTCCTTTGTTTTTAGAGTAGCAGGGTATCAAATGCCAGGAATAGGACGCGAAGTTGATTTTCGAGTTGGCCCAAAAGGCCCCAGGGCCCGTGATGTGTTTTTGGGCAGACGATGTCAGAACTCTAGAAGAAATTTGTCCTTCCAACATGGCTCCGAGACGTTCGAGGATCAAAAGACAAGGTAGAGCAAATATGTGAATAGTCTCCTTTGGTTTTCCTGCATCAGGGCCCAAATGGGTATGGGTCAAAAAAGGGATGCCCCAAACAAATGCGGTGTTCCTGTTGGTTTTCCTTTGAAGCAACCTGAAGAAGGTTAGCCTAACAACACGGCCCAAAAATTGTTCTGTACGTGCAGATCGGGACTTTGGAGCCAGGCTGTCAGAGGCGCTTTGCCATCAGATCTTTGGGGCAAACGCGGTTGGGTTCAACCATCTGGGCACTACATTCGACATCACTCAAAGATAATGTTCGAGACCTCTTGAAAGGAAGCCAGTTTAGCTTGTGACTCGTGCAATTTTTCGCACATTCGCATTTGGAGATGTGATGTTCTTCCCATCATGTTCCTCATTTGGACCTGGCCCAATGACATCCACAAAGTCGACTCGGATGCTAAAAGGGAAGTGGGCATGCTCATGGATGCTATCAACCTTAGGAATTAGTTCGCCTTATTTTTCCTTCGGTGCTTCCACGCATCAGCCAGTGAGTTTCCCTCTGGGGTGATGTGTTTTTAGGTTGGACAAGTTGGAATCCTGCTTTTGTGGCGGCGATTCCACTGAACGTGGGATTTTGCTCCCTCTCCCTGTGGGCGAAGGGGGGGGGGGTTCCTGCCAGCTGGGTAGAAGCCATAGAATCAAAGTACCTGATCTTGTCCACATTCCCTTTTACATCCAGTTGCCAAATGCCCTGATGTGATTTAGACAAGACTCAGGAGATTGGAAAAACACATCTACACCTGATGCAACAAGACATGTGAAGAAGCTCCTGGGTGGAGGTTCTTGAGATCCCCTTGTCAGGCCTTCCTTTTCAGATTCGTTGCATGCTTTATATATGGGAGCGGCATCACGAAGTCTCAGCCCGCTCGGTTGTGCAGGGGATTCCACCCGGTGTTCCTTCCGCTCGAAATTTGGGAGGAACCAACCTGCACATTTGTTTGTTCTTTGGGGGTGTGTTCCACTGAACTGGACCCCTCCAAGACAAAGGAAGACACCATGGCCCCCTGTTGTCCTTCCGCTTTTCCCCTTTGGCGCCCAAAAGACACAACAAGATAGGGCACGCGGGACCTTTTTCCCCATCGCCTCCCCACCCCCCACCCACGCCCCCTAAACGGTTCGGCCTGTGACCCGAAGCCGAGGTTTGTGAACAACACCTCCCTGCCCGTGCACCCGGTGCTGTCCGATGGCACACCCTTGCCGCGCCCGGAGACGGAGACAGGCGCGATGCAGGACCTAGAAGGGACCGGCTTGAATTCGGGGTGGGGGCGTTTTTTTTTTTGGGGGGGGGTTTAGGGGGGGGGGGGGTGCTGTACTCTCTCCTTGTTTGTAGTCTCAGTGACAATGAAAGTCACAAGTTCGAAAAAGACAAACGCTAGTATTCTGGCAACCAAAAATGCGACGTCAGCTTTCGAGATGTTGCCACGTCACCCAGGGTTGGAGGTTCCTTTCCTGGAGGTTCCTTGTTTCGGTTGGTGACTTGTTAGCAGCAGACATGCACGAGGCGGCAAAGGGGAACATTGGGAAGCACCACTTTTACTCAGGGCTCCTTATAAGATACATATTGCCCTTTTGACACATGGCGTTTTCCACCAAAATAAGGGGACAAAAACCATTGACAAGGCAATGTTCAGGGGTATACAGTAATGTAAGGATCCCTGTTACCGGACCCCCAAAGGTAGAGTTCAACCTGACTTTAGGGGCTAAGTCGCTGGGGTTGCCAGGCTTTGGCGTGTCTCAGCGGTGCCTTTCGGTTTGCGTAGGGAAGCCAACAGCAAACCGCGTAAGGGCCCCTATGAGAAACATTTATATGTCCAAAGCGAAAGAAGACTGCGATTTGGCAGCTTGCCTTCTCCACGTTTTTTGCCCTCCAGATGTGGGCACAAAATGTGTCCCCACCGCAAGTCTCCCACTGGGTTCTTGGGCTGGCCGTTACTCCCCAAGATGGACGGAACCCAAAAAGTTACCCAAATGCAAAACCCCTTGAATTCTTGAGGGTGTCTTTGGATTCCATCCGCTGTTTGCTGCAAGAGTGAGAGGGAATTCCCACAACCTGGATCAAAGTGAGTTTAATGGAACCTGACTGCTGGGGAAAGCACGGGACCAAATCAGCTATCCCTTCAAAATGAATCAGAGCAAGTCCCTTGTTTTCGCAGGCCCACAGACTTTGTGGCTGCTCTTTCACAACGTTTGAAACCACCCTTCCATGTTACTGCTTTTACTGTTTTACCCTCTGGAGTCGCCTTGCAGAAATTGATTCCTTTAGCAAATATGTTTATATCCCCGCCAGTGGTCAAATGGTCGTCATGTTTGTTCACTGACCTTCACCCTTTCATCTTGGGTGTGGGTGAAAATTGGACCACCAGGAATTGGACCGCAGGTTTTAGTCCTTGTTTCCATGTACCGATCGGGCAACCTGTTTTGGGGTTACCCTGTTTTGACAACCACACCCACTTTTGGAAAAGAACTGGGTGTTTCCCCCACTGTTTGCTGCCTGAAATCCAAGCACGGCAGCCAGGCGCTACCTTGCTGGGCCATTTGCTGCCGCCCGCACTTGAGGCAGGCCCAGGAGGAAGCGGTAGCACCAGTCAGCCCTTGTCAGAAAAGAGCTGCTGTCATTCAGAAGCACGAGAAAATACTGTGGATGGGCGAAATCCTGCACCACCTAAAAAACCCAGGGGTGATGCTTCCCCTGTAAACACCAACAAACAAGGGTGTCCCATGGTTTCCAAGTGGTGCAGGATTTTTTTCCCACAGTATCATTGTCTTCGTGGCCCCTGGGCAAGTAAACAAAATTGGACAACTCGTCAAAGGTTCGCATGAAAATACAACCACAAAGCACGGTAGAACATCAAGCGCAGTCGGCCTCGCTGAATCATATCAAAGCACGCCAGGTCCTTATGCTATTTACCCGGAAGCCGCTTCCAAGCTGCCCAAGTGGGCTAGACATTTTCTGCTACAGCCCTGCTTTGTGCACATTGCTTGAATCGCAAAGCCCACAGCAGCATACTTATATATATATATATATTTTACATACATACGGACATACATGGATGGAGATATTCGGCTCAGCCTGCGGGGATCACGTGATAATGAGTCAGAACCTGGATTTACAGGGAACTGCAGGAGTAAGAAAGTTCTGCATATTGTTTTTCATATACATAGGTCCTTTTGCCAAGGCTTACAATGGCGAACGCAAGAATTCCTAGTTTTGGATGAATGTCGTTTCACTTGCCACGCGGCAAGTGTCCAGGTAACTGGAGACAGGAACCGTTGTGGGTTACTTTCGGACACATCCAATTGGGTCTGTTTTTTTGTGGGGTACCCGTTTAGGGGGTGTTTAAAGGGAAACCAGAATGAAAATCACCGTTCTGGGGGCCTCCAAAAGAAGACGAGCCTTTTCGTTCAAGCTCCTGAACCAGCTCCACAAAAGACATGGATGTGTTTTCTAGGCATGTATATAGAAGTAGAAAAGTATACGTTGTGTTTTTTTTCCCCAGGGTTTTAGGGCCAGGTTGCCACTTTTTTGGGTCTACCAAAGGAAGAAAACTAGGTTTTGAAAAAAATGTGCAAAAAAAAAGCACACCATGCAGAATATGGGGTTGTCTTTCTTTTGCGGGTACCCTTCTCGGGTTTGCTTCGAAAAGGGAACCACAGGCAAAACCGCAATCCGTTTTGGGGCCCCCAAATTGAGACCGACCCAACGCTACTCACCGACCCAGCCACAGGCGCCGGTGGCCGGAGGCTGCGCGCAGGCACGGACGGACGCCTGCGAACTCGCCCGGATCGGGGCGGCCCGAACGGCAATGGTTTTGCCATTGTCCCGCGTTTGGAGTTCCAAATTTCGCCAAAGCTCGGAACCTCGCCTTGTCTAGTTCCTTTTGGCAAGTGCGCCTGACCCAAGTGCAGGCCTCGTTTCACATCGTCGAAGTTTCATCGTTCGAACAGCCCAGAAATCCAAGCATCGGAGATCGAAGTGATGAGGGTGTCACTTGATTTGGGCAAATAGTTTCGACCTCACACAGGGCGGCGACCTCATCCATGATGGATATTCCTTTTAAAAGGAAGCCCTCTGTGGGTTTGGTGAACTATCATAGCTCACACAGACTTAATGTCCTCCAGCTGAACATGACCACCTGTTTGAGCAGCGGTGATGTTGATGGTAGCTTTCCTGGTCACTTGTCCAGGAATGCACCCCCTCCCCCCCCCCCATACTTACGCAAAAGGCCTCTAAAGGGTTGCTATAAGTTCTGTCGACATGAGCTCAATGAGGCCATCATCTCGGTGACGCTTGGGGACGGGCCTGTGATCGCGGGGCATGCTGGGCACTCACTCGTGCCAGCGAGGCTACGCAGGGCTGCTGTCAGAGGCGCACGGGGAAGTGGGCCAGGAGATGTGTATTCTGACACACAGATAAGTTTGGGTGTGCCCTTTTCAGCAGGGATCCAACCACTTCCCTTGTTTGGGGTTTGGGGTTTGGACCTCCAAAAGTTGGCCATGCTTGAGGTAGCCTGAGTAAGGAGAAAGGCGACGGTCGCTTCCATTTGCTCGCGTCACGGTGCATTCGGGGCTTTCCCGTTGCAGTTGGGGAGGGGGGTTCGCTCGTTGGTGTTTCTTTCGCTTTGGGTATGCCAGTAGTTAAGCTTGATGATTGGTGAAAGTCCTTCGAACGGGGAATCCGTTTGCCAAGTGAAAACCCGCCTTTTAGGAAGAAACCATCGTCCTTTTTGGGGGGGTCCCTCCGAGAGGAAACCCGTAGAAGTCTGCGCTGTCAGGGGATCCGCGGTCAAAACCTGTGCAGATTAAGGTCAGGACCACCATACATAGGTGCATACATGTGTCCTTGTGATGTTGATTGTGCTTGTAGGCTCTTTCAACACAATATGCATGTGTGGGTGTGTGATACAATTTTATAAAGGGGACATTGGCATGACTGCAAAACATACGCAACCACCGTCTGTAAGTGCAATGACGGGATCAGGCTGGAGGCAACTTCGGTGCAAACAGCCAGGCCTCGCTTGTGGACTTGTAAAGCAACCATAGGCTGCCAAGGGTACGGTGGCTCGAGCATACTTCACAAACTACTTCGGGATCTGGGGTAGACTTAGGATACATTTTGCATTTTACCAGTGACTCCATGTGAGGCAAACAATAAAATATACATTCTATAACTGGGCCTAACTCTAATCATGGGATGTTTGCTGATTTCTTCCACAGCCCGCCCCCACCCCCTTTGGGCGACCCAGCGGCTACGGGTTTGTCGGTGGCAGGCTACGGGGCTGCTTTCAGAGTGCGCCAGGCGACGGAAGAGAAATCGATGCAACGGGATCTGCAACCCACACGTGGTCCGGCTACTACCTGGTTCCATTGGGCGGGTACCTGGTTTCACGGGTTCCTTTGGGTCAGGAGAAAGTCTTCATGCCCAGGTTGGGTTTCGAACCAGCGGGTTTTACGCTCCTCTGCTATATGTCAACTTGTTCTTGATATGTTTGCCCCTGCTTGTACTAAGTGCTGACCCGCTAAGACACTGGCCATCGGATAGTCTGCGAAGGACGAGAAGCAGAGGCAAACAGTGCCGAGCAGGGGTGAAAGCAGTGCCCCATTGCCACGAGACCACCTCACCTTGGGGTAGCCATGTTAAGTGTGCTTCGTCTCAGCAGAGTGATGTAAAAAAAAATAATAAAAACAAAAAAAACTGGGGCACCTTTTTTCGTTTGAAGAACACCATCCTTTCAACTGATGAATTTGTGTTCAGTGTCTGTGTTTCTGGACACCATTTGGTCTTTGGAGGACGCGAGAAATGGAGCCACAAGGGTGTCAACCAGGAAAACAGTTCCCAAGCCAACTTCGTCCATGGTGGTTTTTGCGCTTCCTGATGTTCACTGCTGCTCGGTTTGCACCTCAATTTTACGAGGCAGCTGTATCTCTTTGGCCGACCGACCGTTGCGAGATATGTGGGTTGAATGGGTATGGAATCCCATCCAGAGGGGAGGTACGAGGGTAGAAAAGAGTCCGTTTCGGGTCTGCCTTGGGGTTCTTTGTTCCTTAGAGTTCCTTGTGGAGCCATAGAAAAACCCCTCCCCCCTACCTGGAACAGGTGGCTGTGGGTCAAAACCAATGGGATCCCATTTTGGGGTAGGTGCTCCACCCATTTTAGAACCTATTTTAGTGGGGATTGGGATGTTCACTGGTTACGATTTGGCTTTTGACCCATGGCCAGGTTTTCCGTTCCGGGGAAGGCTTTGCACGGAGCCTCTCGACAGATCCCAACCTCACCTCCGCCATCCACCTCACGCACGGCCTGGAGTCCGCCTCCGCACAGATGCCAGGAGCGCGGGGAGCGCGAGAGCCGAAGGGCCTGTCACGTGGCTATGAATTTTAATGGGGAACCCCGGAAAAGTGGTTGGTGGACATAAGTCCCCAGCTAAATGATGTCCACCAAGGGGGGTCCCTAATTAAAATTCACACCCATGTGTTGCTTTAAGAGGGAGAGTTGTTGGTAGCAATGTGTGGAAGCCATTCTTAAGAGGCTTCAGAGGGATCATGTCTCAAAACGGAAAGACAAGAGCTCTACATGGATATGCTTTGGGCCCTTTTTCCAAGCAAGGTGCCGAATACAACAGATCACGAACGGTGTGGCTGATAGTCAGACGTGTCCATCCAAACAGGGAATTGAAGGAACCGGGAAGTCCCTTTCAATGCACATAGACCAGCTGTAGTGGGGTATCGCCCAGCAACGAAGCGAACCTCGCTTTTGGAAGCCCCAAAATGGACTTGAGCGACCCCAAGTACATCCGCTCGAAACCGTCTCAACGTGGCCAAGCCCTGGCGCGCAACTCCAAGCGTTGCGCAACCACTATGGTGATATGGTTCATCAATGTTGATTCGGCGTAGTATTTCAGAGGGGTCGAAACAGGGACCAGTCGCTGGTCTAACTTGGCCATTGCAGGAGGCTCTACTCCATGGTAAACACAGCAGTTCAACTAGTCACCTGTAGTGCGCTATTCACTTTGGTAGCAAAGGCAACGAATGTGCTACATCACGCCTCAGTACTCTGTGCTGTATATCCTTAATGATCTTTCAAGATACTTCAATATCTTTTATGGTTCTTCATTAATCACCATGCCTTGATGTTGTGAAACCTACTGTTTGTCCGATATGAGTCTGTTTTGGCCTGTGAGGATGCGTTTGGCAGTGCTAAACCCCAATTGTTGTTCGAGAACTGGGGGTGTTTATCCTGTTTCATACAATTGTTCATCATCTTCCTAGGAAGGCCGAAGAATGTGTATTTACGTGTGTATATATATATACAATGTGTACCCGAAAGGGTGCATTCCTCCCATGTTCTTTTGACCCCATCTCTCGTGTTGTTTTCTTGTAGCCTTCAGCATTTGCTGGTTTCTCGGGGGAGCAGCTGGGGATCCGCCTTGACAAGCTTCCTCCGCTTGTAGGGAAACCATCGAAGCCAAGTAGCGCACACTCTGATGGGCTATAGCAGGTGGTTCTACTACCTGAGTTGGTTGGGATTCTCAATACTTGGTGGCTCCTAGCCATGCCCTTAGCTTTTTAGCCGTTTAGTGTTTAGTGGGGTTTTCCATTTGGCCCACTCAAAGTTAAACTTTTAGCGGGGGATCTGAGGACAGTAGTGCCTACCTAGATCCTAAGTAAACCCTCAGAACCATGTTGGTAGAATCAGATTTCGATTGATTTCGGCCTGGGAAACCGCAGGCTTTCCATGAGGAAAGCGGGTCAAAATTATTTTTTAGGGAATCCCCCGAAAAGACAAGCGAAATACACATATTTTACAAAAGACGAGAAGTGGGTAAAATGGCAGCCGACACCTCACGGAACCGCGAACGCTGCAGGTGTCGGGGGCTTTGAGGACATCAACTTTGCCGGGCAGGACGGCTTTTCGCGCGCCGAAAGTCAGAGACTCGGTGGGTATGTTTCGAGACAAATCCCCCTGGTTTAGGTTGGCTCAGTCTGATTTAAAGGAAAGCAAACAGGAGTATTTCCAAGGACTCGGTGGATGTGGTGAGGAGTTGCAACCTGGAGTTTAGGTCAGGCTTCCGAGCCATTTCCCTTTTTCAATAGCAATCGTTTCAATGGACACCACCAGCAAGTTATATCCAGTGACCCCTGTATAGGTTCTGATTTAAAGGAAGTCCAACAGGAGTACTACCGAAACCACACCACAGCAACAAACCAGTACGTCCGGTCGGGAAAGCAAATCATTTTGAAAAAATAGTCCCGCCCCAACATGGTTGCTAGTTTCTTCTGAGATTTCTTTTAAAGAATAGGGACGGTCCTCGACACGCCCCTTAAGCTGATGTTGGCTCGGTTTAAGTGTGTGTCCGGCATTTTGGGAGCCAAAAGCAAACATTTGATTGGGGCCCCAATGTTGAATCATGCCCGGAAGCCACCAACCACAATATTCTGAGATGCTAGCGTCCGGCGTTCTGGGTCCAACACCTTGGCTCACCTTTCCAGAATTGCCGAGACGTGCTTTTTATGGGGAATATGGGTGGCTATGATTTTTTTGATATGGAACCATTCGTAATCGTTGGTGGACACAAATCCCCACTGAATGATGTCTACCAAAGCTAGCTGTGTGACATTTGCTGCATATCAGGCCTGTTGAACCCTGTTTCAGTATTTTGCGCAGTCCTTTCCCGAAGGGGGGAAACAAATTGGACCCCCTGAACCACTGCCTGTGAAAAAAAATGCATATCATCACCAGTATCGGCCTTGAAGTAGCCAAATCCTGTTGACTTCTGCGGCATTTTGCGAAGAACACCTGGCTGGGATCTTATTCTGTACGTCGTAGGGTAAGGTCGTGTTTCAGAATGCCCACAAGTTTAGGCTCGCTGACTCAGCGCTACATAAGACACCCCGACACAGATAGGTTTCGGAGCTGAAGAGCTGGTGTATTTTTAACATTTCCGTGGCACCACGCCTTTCACCCCCCCCGCCACCCGCCCGCCCCGAGCGCGAGCGACCAAACGCAGGACTGCATTTTGCGGGAGGAGAGCCTTGCTCTGTCGGTGACCCGCGGGGTGGCTGGGGACCCAGACCGGTAAATGGTCTGAAATTTTCAGTTAAACCTGAGCCGCCTGTAAATTCTGGTAACTGGGTGTTGCAAGATCCTTTGATTGGTGTGCGTAAGGATATAATGTTGTCCATGTCGAATTTTGATTTTCCAGCTGCTTGGGAGATTGCGCTTTTCCATTAGGTGATTTGGTTCCCTTGTAGTGGTTGCCCTCCTGGGACTTGTAGTGGTTGAACGGACGAACTGGCCACAAGGGGAGCCACTAGCAAATCGCACGGCATCTTTTTGTGAAACTGATGAGGAGTTTCAAAATGATCACCCTATTGGCCAGTCGGGGGAGGGTCAAAGGTTATGCCTGGAGCTGGTGATGCCCGCGATGCCCCAGACAAAATGGCTAGCACCCTGTGGGGTGAAAAGGGTACCCGGGCTTTTGACACTGACACCTCTCGACGTTTCCGCTAAGTTTGCGACAGTGATGAGCTTTTGTGTGCTACACTTGTTGTCAACCTTTTGGGGGGCATTGGCCTGGAATGGCTTGCTGGAAAACCTTTGAGATGACCAACCCTGGCTTGTTGACGCGCCATTTTGTGGCATTGACATGCCAGCTCTTGCGGGTTCAATACAGACCCGACTTTTGTATTTTTACAGAGAGGAAAAAGAGAACGCAATAAAGCACGTGATTTTGCTTTGAACTTTGAACCAGTAGGTGGGCACTTGATGCATACGCCTTTGCAAGGGAACTATCACGAGACCAGGCATGTTGAGAAGTCCGCAAGTTTGAAACATGCCCAAGCAAGGCATGGGCCTGCACATGTCGTTTGCGCCACATTCATTACGATATTGGTTGTTTGGGATATTAGTGTTGGCGGTTTAGGGCAATGACCCCCTGCAAACAGACTCATGTTTGGAGGAAAAAAAGAACATGAACCAGCAGTGCTCAATCAGTACTGCTTCGGATACACCAAGAACCGGCAAGGGCTGTACATAAGGTGCATAACATCATAATATATATATATATATATTATGTGTATATGTATATATATATGTATACACCTACACGCACACTTTTTTTCCTCGTCCTGCTAACTGGTTTGTTTTTGCCCCACACCGGGCTCCTTTCCTTAAGGACTGCAGCGTGGTGAGCCTCTGCCCCGCGCTGCTGCTCTACAACTCCTCCGCAGAAGACGTGGCGTTCCTCTGGCACGGCCAGGCGAGATCGGCCTCTGGGGAAAGGGATGCCATAGTTCTTCCCCAGAATTCGCTCCCCTGGTTTTTGTTTTTTTTTCCCCACCCGACAGGAAGGGGTTGTTCCCCACCCGACAGGAAGGGGTTGTTAGATTTTATGTTGGAATCCGCGTTTGCGATGCTTCAACACCACGCCCCCACCCAGTATCCCGCCAGAGCAGCTCGCCAGTGGATCCCGCCGAGTTGGATCCCGCCCAGTATCCCGCCAGAGCTGCTCGCCAGTGGATCCCGCCGAGTATCCCGCCAGAGCGGCTCGCCAGTGGATCCTGCCGAGTATCCCCTCGCCAGTGGATCCCGCCGAGTATCCCGAGCGGCTCGCCAGTGGATCCCGCCCAGTATCCCGCAAGAGCTGCTCGCCAGTGGATCCCGCCCAGTCACCAGAGCAGCCCGCCAGTGGATCCCGCCGAGTAGCTCGCCAGTGGATCACGCCGAGTGGATCCCGCAGAGTATCCCGCGAGTATCCCGCCAGAGCGGCTCGCCAGTGGATCCCGCTGAGTATCCCGCCAGAGCGGCTCGCCAGTGATCCCGCCAGAGCGGCTCGCCAGTGGATCCCGCCGAGTATCCCGCCAGAGCGGCTCGCCAGTGGATCCCGCCGAGATCCGCCGAGTATCCCGCAAGAGCGGCTCGCCAGTGGATCCCGCCGAGCATCCACCCAGAGCAGCCAGCCAGTGGATCCCGCCGAGTGTCCCTCGCCAGTGGATAGGCCGAGTATCCCGCCAGAGCAGCCCGCCAGTGGGTCCCGCCGAGTATCCCACCAGAGCAGCACGCCAGTGGATCCCGCCGAGACGCCAGTGGATCCCGCCGAGTGTCCCGCAAGAGCGGCTCGTCAGTGGATCCCGCCGAGTATCCCGCAAGATGGATCCCACCAGAGCAGCCCGGCAGTGGATACTCGGCGCCGAGTATCCCGCTGAGCTGGCCAGTGGATCCCGCGAAGTATCCCGCCCTCGCCAGTGGATCCCGCTGAGTATCCCACCAGAGCAGCCCGCCAGTGGATCGAGTAGCCCGCCAGTGGATCCCTTGCCGGTGGATCCTGCCGAGTATCTGGGCAGTATCGAGCCGGGGCGGCTCGCCAGTACTCGCCAGTGGATCCCGCCAGTATCCCGCCAGAGCAGTCCGCCAGTCTGGTTTTGCTTAATGTCCCGCCCGGCGCACAGCTGGTTTTACATTTCACGTTGGTGCCTTCGTGTTTTGAGTGTATCTTGAGGCTCGGAAAGGTTGATGCTTTTGTGTTGCTTTGGGTTGTGAATAAGCTACGTTGTTCAATCCCCCGCTTGGCTTTTGTTGACGGAACCGATGTTTGAGTTCTCGGCTCGCAGGCAAGTGGAGTTTGACACACACACACACAGGTGGATAAGGCTCTCAATGCAAAGCTTGTTGAGCAGTCATAGGCCCCACGCCACTCGAAAACCATGCTTGAATTCACAGAACCGTGTTCGCGGCTGTAAGCTCGTGAGTATGGAGGGTGGGGATTGCTCGAAGCGAAGTAATTAGATTTTATGTTGGAATCCGCGTTTGCGATGCTTCTACACCACGCCCCCACCCAGTATCCCGCCAGAGCAGCTCGCCAGTCCGCCAAGTATCTCGCCAGAGCAGCTCGCCAGTGGATCCCGCCGAGTATCCCGCCAGAGCTGCTCGCCAGTGGATCCCGCCCAGTATCCCGCCAGAGCTGCTCGCCAGTGGATCCCGCCGAGTATCCCACCAGAGCAGCCCACCAGTGGATCCCGCCGAGTATCCCGCCAGAGCGGCTCGCCAGTGGATCCTGCCGAGTATCCCGCCAGAGCGGCTCACCAGTGGATCCCGCCGAGTATTCCGCTGAGTATCCCAGAGTAGCTCGCCAGTGGATCCCGCTGAGTATCCCGCCAGAGCACCTTGCCAGTGGATCCCGCCGAGTATCCCACCAGTAAATCCCGCCGAGTATCCCGCTGAGTATCCCTTGCCGGTGGATCCTGCCGAGTATCCGGCCAGTATCGAGCCGGAGCGGTTCGCCAGTATTCGCCAGTGGATCCCGCCAGTATCCTGCCAGAGCAGCTCGCCAGTCTGGTTTTGCTTAATGTCCCGCCCGGCGCACAGTTGGGTTTACTTTTCATGTTGGCGCCTTCGTGTTTTGAGTGTGCCCTGAGGCTCGGAAAGGGTGATGCTTTTGTGTTGCTTTGGGTTGTGAATAAGCAACTTAGTTTAGTCCCCCGTCGGGCTTCTTTTTGGAATGGGCTTGGCTTTTGTTAACGGAGCCGATGTTTGAGTTCTCGAGATCGGCTCGCAGACAAGTGGGGTTTGACACAGAGACAGGTGGATAAGGCTCTCAATGCAAAGCTTGTTGAGCAGTCATAGGCCCCAAGCCACTCGAAAACCATGCTTGAATTCACACAACCGTGTTCACGGTCGTAAGCTCGTGAGTGTGGAGGGTGGGGATTGCTCGAAGCGAAGTAATTTTGTTCGCTTTTTTGGGGCCCCTTTGTTTTCCACCATCCAGGCAAAGAAGATCTTTTGTTGCCGGGGTCCTAATTCCAGCCTAGAGTTCTAGGGGTTGATTCCAACCATTCTTTTCAACCATCGCTCTTTTCAGCTTGTGATGGTTTCCTGAAAAGAAGGATCCCTGGAAAGAATGGGGAAGGTACCCCTAGAATAGTGTACTGCGGGTGGACAAAAACCATTTCGCACCACCTAAACTCCCGGGCATGATTTGATTCCCGAATGGTTTCAACCATGGTTTCCAAGTGGTGCAGGATTTGGTCCACCCACAGTAGGGGGCTAAAACCATGTGCTACCTCCTCTTTTCACAGCTTTTGTTGGAGGAGGGACCACTACAAAATCAACCATTACATGTTGTCTGTCTATTTATTGCGAGCAAAAGCAATGGTATAGGTTGTTTTGTTCTTTGGGAATCCACTTCTTTATGATTTCGGTGAAGTCGCAAAATGTGGAGGGATCTTGCCAGAGTGATGGGAACTCCCAACAGAGGGCCATGGCTCTCCGTCTCAGGGAAAGTCAAGGGTGGTAGGGTCGGAAACTGAGAGCCTTTTATGTTGGGCCAGACGTTTTGGAGACCTTCCGAAGCCAAGACCCGGAAGCGGAAGCTCCGATCCCATTTGCTGCGGTGAGGTGGTGTCTTTGCTTTCCAGCGAGAAATGGTCAAATCCCATAGTCCATAGATAAATGTTTTAAATTTGAACACCAAAATAGTTGAACCGGTTTTTGCCAGAAGTCATGATTGGTTGGCGTCAGCTTGGCCTCTGTGGTGTGAGGACCTTGCGGAAGCGGTGCGTGTGCGGCCCAAAACGGCCGCCACGGCGCGGGCGCCGCCGGCGCCGCCCGGCAGTGCGGGGCCGAGAGGGGGGAGGGGGGGGAAGGGCTGGGGGTGGAGGGAGGCGGTGGTGGGGAGTGACGTGGGAGGGTTGGTTGCTTGGTGTGGGGGGTGGTGGTGGTTGGGAGGTTGGTTGCTGTTGAGGGGGTATGCCTGGGGAGAAGGGTTGGGGACTATGGTGGTAAGATTCATCCGGTTTCTGCACGCTTTGGTTTTTGGTTCTGGAGGAAGTCTGGGTCACGTGTCGGTGGAAACGCGACATTCAGCATAGCCACGACACCTTTGGCACAGTCACTCTGACCCTCTGAGTTCCCGAAGGCAGCCTGGAGGTGCCTCCAAGTTTCGGACCAGCGCGACGCGACACGTGCAGCGGTCGTTGATTGAGCCAAACCTGGCATGTGAGAGCTTAGGCATGCGCACCTCCTTCTTGGTGCGTGAGCAGGCCGAGCGCAGGCTGCAGGCAAGCTGCCGCAGGGAGGGCAGTGGACTGGCAGAGCTTTGCTACTTGAAGGGTGGGGATAGTGCGAGCAGGAAATAGGTGCGTTGATCCCATTGTTTTGGGTAGACCCCCTTAGTACTAGGTCTTACGCATGACTCAGTACTAGGTGCTAATCATCACTCAGTACTAGGTGTCAATCATGGCTCAGGTGTTATGTGGAAGACGGCTACCTCAAATGCCCAAATGTCGTCCAACATGCCTCGGGGCGATGGAGGATTGAAATGAGCTGTCCTTGGGTGGGCATGTTTCCGATTCAGCTAGGGACCATGCAAAACAAAGAAATCCCAAATAGATTATCTCTCCAGGGAGCTGCTGATTGATCTGGAGGTGAGTCACCTTCTTTTTGCGGAAGGAGTTCATATTGTTCGGAAGCCCCAAATCATGCGTAGCATATGGACGCTGGTCTTGACCAACCTTAACTTATGGCAATGAACATTTCACCACTGTTTGCATTGCGGGTGTGTTTTTTGGAGGGTAAAGGGAAACCCAATGGAAGCCAACCATTTTTGGGGGGCACTTTGAAAGTGCAAACAGGTCCCTTTCTTGTCCTGCAGATCCGGAAAGCAGGTGAAGTCCCTGGTGCCGTTTTGTTGTTTTTGTTCCCCAAACAGCAAAGCATTGGGGTTCTAACTTGAGGTATAGAATGGGAAAGTGTGACGCCGGTTCCGGGGTCCTGTTTTCCGCTTGTCTTTCTGTCTCCCAGTCTCGTCTCTCCGGTCAGATGCTAGATTCTCCCGCTTGTCTTCCTGTATCTTCCAGTCTCTGCGGTCAAATGCTAGATGCTGTGACGCCGGCTCCGGGGTCGTGTCTTCCGCTTGTCTCCCTGTGTCTCCCAGTCTCCGCGATCAGATGCTAGATGCTGTAACGCCGGCTCCGGGCTTGTCTCCCGCTTGTCTCCCTGTGTCTCCCAGTCTCTGCGGTCAGATGCTGATGCTGCGACGCTGGCTCCAGGGTCGTGTCTTCCGCTTCGCTTGTCTTGTAACGTCTCCCGCTTGTCTCCCTGTGTTTCGCAAATGCTGTGACGCCGCTCCGGGGTCGTGTCTCCCGCTTGTCTCCCTGTGCGTCGTGTCTCCCGCTTGTCTTCCTGTTAGATGCTGCGACGCCGGCTCCGGGCTTGTCTCCGCTTGTCTTTCTGTGTCTTCCAGTCTCTGCGGTCAGATGCTAGATGCTGTGACGCTGGCTCCAGGATCGTGTCTCGTGCTTGTCTCCCTGTGTCTCCAGATGCTGTGACACCGCTCCGGGCTCCTCCGGGTCGTGTCTCCCGCTTGTCTCCCTGTGTCTCCCAGTCTCTGCGGTCAGATGCTGTGACGCCGGCTCCGGGCTTGTCTCCTGCTTGTCTCCTTGTGTCTCCCAGTCTCGTAACGCTGGCTCCAGGGTCGTGTCTCCCGCTTGTCTCCCTGGTCTCCCACATCCTCTCTCCGGGGTTGTGTCTCTGGCTTGTTTTTCCTGTGTCTTCCAGTCTCCGCGGTCAGATGCCAGATGCTGTGACGCCGGCTCCGGGCTTGTCTCCCTGTGTCTCCCAGTCTCTGCGGTCAGATGGATGCTGTTGATTGCTTAAGAATATGTGTCTATTTGTTGGTGGGCTCCCTAGTTTGACCGTTTGGCTATCCATTCTTGGTGCTCCCGTTATGAACAAACCACTGAAAACACGGACGAACCCTCAAGCCAGGATATACGGATATAGCTGCGGGTCAAAACCAATGGTACCATTTTGGAAGGTGCGCCACCCGTTTTAATGGATGTTCACTGGGGGTACAGGATTTTGACCCATGGCCATGTGTTTGGTTTCTGCTGTTGGCTTCAAAGGGAATCAGACCTGTTATGCTTTCTTGCTGTTTGGGGTCGAGGCTGGTTTAATTTTGTTTTTTCGCCGGGTCCTCTTTTCTTGGCCTCTCTCATCAGCCACTAGGCACACGCGTAAGTGTTTAAAAACAAAATGGCGCCCTCCGCAAATCGGCCTCAGCTTTCCTTTTGGATTCCGTTTAAAGCCACAAAAGAGAGTAAAGGACACACGCATATGCGCCATTAGATGGGACCCCGCTGCTTCGCTGAGCCTCCTCTCCGAGCCACACCCATCGCCTTTTGGAAGTCGGGGTGTTGAGATCCCGCCGGGTTACAAAATGGTTAACATAAAACAGAGGTGAAGCAAATGGTCTACTTGCAAATGATTACACCATGTGAAAAGCTGTCAACCGATGGGTGTGGGCTTTTCCAACAGCAGCTGTTAATTTCCCTAGAGAAACCCATACCCAAAACGGGATGGACAACTGATTCATTTTTTCAGACCCCAAGAAGTTGCCCCTAAACCAGCGAGTGCCCCCTAGGTTGTGCTGCGGCGGGAGGGCCGTGTCTCCGTGTCTCCCGCCTTCTCGGTGGGAAGGGACCAAGCAGGCGCCGCTGGGATTTGGGGGTTCATCGCCACGCGCGAAAGGCCCAAGCTGAAAACTGGGATTTCAGCTTGGACCTCTGCTTGAGTCTCAACCCCAAGGGCCATGGCCCTTTCAACCTGTGTGACCTGTTTGGAACAAGGATAGAAGTCTAAACTACCATATTATATTGTTTGACCTATTTGGAAGAGCACCATTGCAAGCAAGCGCAAACTCACTGATCTTGCAAAGGAGTTTAATGCGTTCGCCAGGCTGGGCAGTGGCTTGCGCCTTGGATGGGGCCTTGTGCGCCATCTCCTTAGACGAGGCCCGTGGCGCAAGCAACCCGACCGCTTCCTTAGGGAGAGACATACTGTGGATGGACGAAATCCGCAGCCACTTTGAAACCATGGTTGAAACCATTGTTTGTTGGTTTTTTACAGGGGAATCATCATTGGTGCAGGATTTCGTCCATCCACAGTAGGGTGGTATCGTGTCTTGGTTGAACCTACGTTTCTTGGGGTGCTGGACCCACGAGTCTTGCTTGCCTTTTTGGCTGGATTTGTCGCGGTTAGCTTGTTTGATTCGATGGAACGTACTCGTGGTTTTGGCCACCAAACAGCTGAAAGCTGGACTTTTCGCAAAAGTGGCACAGTTGTGTCTGCTGTCCCCGGACTGCAAGGCTACAAACAAACTGGATTTCATTGTTTGTGTTTCGTGCTGACTGTCTGCCCAAGATAGAAGCTTGGCTAAACTTTCGAAGCCATGAGTTTGATTTGTGTACAATGGGGTTGCTTCCTAAAAAGCACGGCTCGCCAGGTTTTGTTTGTCGTACCAAGTCACGCTTTGGTAAACTTGACTGTTGTTGGCTACGTGTGTGTGCGCTGGATTTATTCTCACCAAAAGCTTGTTTTGCTGCCGACCTGAAAACAGACCTCTGAACCTTTGAAGAGCCCCCAAATGAGGCTCTTTTAGAGGGGCCACCTTTGTTGGCCACTGATCTTGGGCCGAAATCAGGTACTGATCAAAATTAGATTCAAAGTTCAGCAAGAAGCGACCTTCAAAAGGACACTCTGAGGTGGGTGCCTTTCGCCCTTCCCAATCCATCTGATGTTCGCAAAATGTTGCGCGGCATGCCCCAAATTTCAAACGTTCATTCGTTTTCCGACCATTGCCTTGGGGTTATATGTGGTTTTCTCAAAGAACCAGCGAAAAGTGACCGAGCCGGAGCCTCCAAAGTTGGCGCTTCCCCAAACGGTTTGTGTTCCCTTGATTTCCCTTCACCAGATCCCAAAGAAACGAGATCGCAATGAGGAATGGGCACTCCCTTTTTTGGACAAGTCCCAAAGTCCAACAACACATGGGTGTGGGTCAAAATTAAAACACCTTGGGACCACAGGTTTTACTCCTTGGTTCCGTGTACCCGGGCAAGCCATTCTGGGGTTACCCCATGTTTGACCCGCAGCCACATGAACTGTTTGTTAAAAACCGAGCCGTTCGAAGCCCCCGGCAAACCCACCCGCCCCTCGGCTTGGAAGGACCGGGGTGCCATGGCGGTGTCGGTGGCGGGCGAGGAGCGATGCCACAAGTTGCAGTGCCACCACCCGGCCCTGGAGGCGAGGACTCAAATGGCCATGGGCTGCAGAACCCTTTGGCGAGCCATTTTGGGGTGGATGAACATCCATTTGCCACTTTTTTTAATGTTATGGTTCAACACCAATGGATCCCGTTTTGGGATAAGTGAATTCACCACCCATTGGGGGTACGGGGTTTCGACCCACAGCCAAGTGACAAGTCAGCCGATGGCCTTGCTCAGATTGGGCGAAGCCTAGGCATTCATGTGGACGAAATCCGGCTTCGCACCACCTACGAAGCCCTGGAATGATGATTCACCTTCAATGGGTTTAAGTTTAAGCATGGATTCAATGCGGAGAGGATGGATTCTGCAACCATCCACAGCAGCAAAGTCGCTTTTGGGCCATACATGAGGCGGCCCCAAGGAGATCCTTCGTGTGTTGTTTTCGTTTGTGAGGCCAAGTAGTCTTGGGTCCTAAGACCGAAACCAATAACCGGACTGCCTTACCATTTATTTTGGAAAGGTCATGTTGGAGGACAGTTCAGTTGTGAACAGGTATGGTGTTCCTTCCTGTTACAGTCTTGCGAAAGGCTTTGGGTAGACGCCTTTGAGTCTTCTGTGATTTTGTTTTCAAGCGACCCTGTCTTTGCCTCCTTTTGTCTCGGCGTGTGACCAGACCCTTTTGAACTTCTGGGAAATGGGTAAGGTTACTTCTCCAAAGGGGCATCCACTACCTCAGTTGGACCAACCCACGCTCTGTTTGAGAGCCTTTTTTGTGGTTTAGGTGTCCGTTTGGTTGATTTTACAATTTTTCCACCCACAGGACACCAACCATTGGGGTTCCCTTGGAGACAAACCCATTGTGTTGTGTGTTTCCCCTTGGGAGTGTCAACCCAGCTGCCCCCGAGGCTTTCCTCGAGCACGAGCCCAAGTGCCGCGCCCAGTTCAACGAGGCGGTGCACTTTGGGCTTCAGGAGCCGCTTGGCTGGCGATAGGTTTCAGATCAGGGACCGGTCCCTAAATGCGTTTGTGTCTTTTTCACCCTAAATATGGGTGGATCGTCTTATTCTGAGAGAACCCCTCCCCAAATGGTGGAAATGTTCCTCTTGGTTTCCCTTTAAGACCACCAAGAAGGAGTACCCTGAAAAGGAGGACAGGTCCATATTTCCCCACGGGTGGCTTTAAACATCACCTTCTGGTTGCCACTAGATGAGCTTTCTCTTGGGCTGCTGTTAAAGCAGGCCATGTAGGGAAACCTGTTTCAGGTCAATGCAAGGGGAACCGAAGCAACACCTTTGACACATATATCCAACCGGGGCCTGGCAAGCTTTGCGGACAGGATGGGTTTTCTTCGTGTTTTTTTGGGGCTTAAGGTTTGTGACAAGCCAGCCAACATGTCGGACTCCCGAAAGGATTTGAGCCTGGTGTTTCCAAGACGGGTTGGGATTGGCCAGGCTTCCTGCGCCCGGTTCACTCAGTCTCTGAAATCAACTGGTGTTTAGTCACTTTTTGGATTTGGAGCATTTTGGTGGTAAACAAGTTCTGGGACTTTTTTTGGCCAATCCACTCGGTCAACGGCCCCGTTCTTTTGGACAACTGGTTGATGTTGGGAACTTTGCCTGCTTTCGCAGCTCTTTTCCTGGCAGCTTGACTCACCGGAGTCTTTCTAAGCGATTACAAGCTTGGACATGTCCAAAACAAAGCACCCCCTCAAACAACAAGAGGAACAAACAAATAGATAAAAAATAGATAAATACATCAAGTATGGTCAGCATTAACCACATTACCTCTTGAGGATGCTTATGAAGGTCAGTGTTTGTTTTCAATGGCACCAGTGACTCGTGCTCCTTGTTTTTGCTCACGGCGTCCGCAACGACCCCGTGGATTTCTTTGTTTTTTGGACGTTCATCCCTGCGTTCCTGCATCATGGTTCGGGGGGGATGGGTGGGCGGGGGGGGGGGGGTTGGGGTGGGGCATGATAAGCACACCCGCTCAACTTTGGCTCCAGGACCATGGGTCATCATTTTGTTCTCGCTCTTTCTGTTGCGTACGTTCTGCTGCTGCGTGTCGCGTGTGCACCCTGCCCCATTGTTGACTCGTGGTTCCAGGCATTTTGGACGTGTGATCCGTTCTTGTTGGACGCTCGCTTTGAAGTTTTCGCTGGTAGTTTGTCTGATCCTTTCGCGCATTTTGCGGCATCTGTTGGTGCGATATCTGCTCGAAGCCCTTTGTCCTGGTGTCGGTTACCTGCTGCACTGCCGCGTCTTCGCGCTGCCTGGCTCACGCTCTCGCGCGCCCGCTCCCCGCTTACCCCGGCTTTGCGCGTTCTATCCCGACGTTTGTTGGTCATCAACTTCACTTCTGCGCCACAAGCCAGTGTGGAAAAAGCACGTGCCCAAAACAGTGGCCACTCGTGGTGCGTGTGACAGACGCGCAAACCCACGCCTGGACCAGTACATGTACTCATTTCAGTTTCGCAAAATCTGTAGCAAGCCATTGTGGGATGCTCTGGGAGACCTGTGCAAGAAGTTGCTATGAAAAAAAAGGCGCGGGCAGCCTCAAGAAACGCGCGCGTGTTGGCCAGCAGCGCGAAGTGCTGCTATTCTCAGGCGATTTCGCTCTTTCTTGTCAAAGCCATGGTAAAAATGGAACAAAACAATCATGGTGCGTGTCAACGATGCAACGAAATGTTCATAAAACGCAGGAATTTTGGTAAACGTGCTTGGTCGCCCTGGTCAAAAGCAGCGTGGTCATTAGCAACGCCGTGACCTTGTTTTTCGCACACTGTCATCGCAGACTTCGCAAAAATGAATTTCAAACCAATGTAAAACTGGGGTACGTAGTACTTGTAGGAGGAACACGTGCATTCTTGTCGAGGCCACCAAATTTATTTTCTTCTGGCCCTCCCAAAAGGCTCCGACAAAATAAGCTTGATATAGGATTCTTGAATCCGGCATGAAGCCCAACAAGACTAATTCCGATGGAATCACAAGAAGCTCCAGCAACTCTATGCCAGGAGCCTTGAACGCCTGGTTTAGCAGCAGGAAGCTCCACCGCCGCTAATTCAGTTGGAGACTCACAGATGGCCTCAGCCGTGCTACCCAGGAGTGGAGTGCGAGGCAGGATTGGAAGGAAGAAATCAGAGGTCGCAGTGAAACAAGACGCAGACCGGACTCCGGCACTGGAGTTGAGTACCATAGATCATAGATATGCGGTTGTAACTTTGGTGTGCAAGTGAAAGCTCCCGGACCCAAATCAATAGTCTCACTCTGCAATGGAAATTTATCATGGTCAACTAATTTGGCTTTACTTTTTGTTCATGGGTTCGCTGCTAAACATGCATTCAACCACAGACGCAAATAGTTCAAGCAGGTTTTTGTTTTCTTTATCGACGGGGTCAGTGGCTACAACTGGAATATGATTCGCGTTTCTCCCATGCTTGAGGCTCGGCCAGAAGGTTCCCGTGCTGGTCTTGCAGCGACTTGGCTCGCCCGGGTGCCGAGCGAAGTTTTGCTTTGTTCGGCCTAGTCGGCCGACGGCCGGTCAGTTTTGGCTGAGCACATTCAAGCCATCGCTTTGGGTGGCAAAAACAAATAAGCTCGGGTGATATACCCAACAGCCCCTGGTAGAACCCTCGTGGAACCTTACCTCAGGGCCGCCCCGGACCACCCCGGAGCCTATTTGGGCTGAGACCCCAAAGCTTTCAGCTGTTGGGGAAGAAAAGAGAGGGACCCGTCAATCATAAGCCACCTTTTCCTAGTATTAAAGGTATCACTTGTTTGGTGCAGGTAAGAGCCGGAAGTTGCCGGCCAGGGACCAGTTAGTTGGCTTGAACAGCAAACACATCCGTGCAAATAAGACATCGCAACCTCGCCTTGCCGATTCTTTGTTTGCGATACTGCTGAATAATCTTTGTTAGAAAACATCCTCATTGCCGAGCTGATAACTGTTGATATACACAGTTGGGTTGGGGCGCGTACTCCTTTTGATAGGCTGCTACGTACCACTGGATGTCAATGGTAAAAATAGTTCCGCGTACTAGCCAATCATTGCTCCTTTGTGGCAGGGGATTCGAGCACGCACGCCATCAGGTGCGATCAAGCAGCAAGGGGCATTTTCACAATCTACATGACCAGCATGCAAGATGGACTTGGTTGACTTGGTTGGGCCTTTTAGAACAACAAAGTTGGGCCTTCTGCTTAGAGCAACAAACTTGGGCCTTCTTTTCAGAACAAACAACAAGGTTGGGCCTTCTTTTTAGAACAAGCAACAAAGTTGGGCCTGCGTTTTAGAACAAACAACAAAGTTGGGCCTGCTTTTTAGAACAAACAACAAAGTTGGGCTTTGTTTTTAGAACAACAAGATGGTCGTATGATTTTAGAACAACAAGATGGTCGAGTCGTATGAAAGTCTCACCCCGCGACTTAAGTGGCCCTTTCTGGGCTTTCCTAAAGAAAGAAAAGCGTCGCCAAATTGGGCAGGCGGCCACCCTTGCCGCGCCTGAATCGCCGTGCTGGTGGGGAAACCCACTTCAACATCACTCATGGTAGTTTGTTTGCTGGTGCGATAGGTAGGGAAAAAGAACTGGAATGAACCTGGGAATTTCCTCAAAGGAAGCGCAATCGGGGATGCTTTTTCTCGGGGTCATTCCATTTCTTCTCCCTGGACATCCAATGCGGGGAGACCCCTGAACCAATCAGCTCCAACGACTAGGGGAAATGCTCCCTGGCCCTTTAAAAGCGCAGCTGTCGCATTTCCTTTTGGGAGCCTTCGCTGAGGCCAAAGAAAGCGCAGCTGTCGCTGAACCTCACACGGAACGGCTCTCAGGTGTGGCGTCGAAGCCGTGGGGCAACCCCCGGAGCCCAAGGGCCTTGAACCCCCGACGTTCTATGGACATGTGGGTGGAAACAACACTGAAGATTCAAGATGGCGCTGCTCAATGGTTTCCTAATGAAGGTGTAAGATGGGCTTCCCAGTTGACCTTAGCCACTTGGTAGATCCGAGTGTCTAGGTGTTGGCTTCAATCTTTTCCGGTGGAATTTGATTCGGTTTTGGCTATCGGGGAGCTCAAGGCCTTTGAACATACCAGGAACATACGTTTCGCGGGCAAGACGTGGCATGCACTCCCCATTCGCAACATAACAAAAGGAATCCAGGAGGATCCTTTAAAATGGTGTCGGGTTTCTGGTTTCATGTCAATCTGCAGAGCATACAGACAGTACAAAACCATGCCAGAAAACACCAGAGCCGAATGCCTCTGCTCGCCGTTGGGGAAGCACCCTAAGGACACTCTCTTCAGTCTGCAGGGGAGGGTCGTAAAATGGCCACATCGCAACAGGCAAACTCAGATGCAGATGGCAGACCTTCCAGTATCCATTCGGAGAGCGTTGCAGGCGAGGATCAACTGAAGGGGCCAATGTGGATCAGTCGGGCTCAAGAAACAACAGGCCAACATCCACAATTGCTCCCCTACGATTGACATGGAACTCAACATGGGGGCCCTAAAGGAGATGCATCTAAAATTGGTTGGTTTCTTTGCGGTTCCATGCTGGCGTGGGTCAAAGTTAAACCACCAGGGTACCGCAGGTTTGGGTCCATGTGTCCATTTACCAGGGCAACCCATTTTGGGACCTAGCTTTGACCCACAGCCAATTAAAACGCCAAGCAAAGCGGTGCCCACATTTGCCGCCGTTGTTGGCCAGACGCTGAGCGCCCAATCCAGCCTCGGGGTGCCCGCGAGGGTGGAGGTGGCGGTGAAGGACCCGGATTTTGTTGACAGCGCGAGGTTTGGGGAATGGTCTATGAGTTTGTCTCTGCATGTGCAAAGCAGGAAGCCCAGAATTAGGACAACAGTTTTGGTTTGAAATGAGGGGAACGACCAAAAACCGTGGTGTTGGGTGGTGGCCTTCAAAACAGCGGGGGTTGACCCCAAGCAAATCGGTGGCGTTCGTTTGGTACCCCTTCTAATTAAGCA